CTCTTCCCTGCCAATGCAGTCGTCAGGGAGTCATGGTCCCCATATGTTATATCCTCCTGTTACTCGTATCCTTATTGGCTCCTGTCAGTAGCAATTTTGGTCAAACGTCAACATAGATTTAGACATCAAGGCCCAAATCCTTTGACCATGAGATTTGTATCAACTCTTCCAAATGGAGCTACATTAAGTAGTACTATTTTGTGTGGTTTAGGCTTGACATATTTTGATGCTATGATTCATGATACTTGTCTCAGCTACACTTCTGAGATGCAGGCTCCTGCCTCTTCCCATTCAGCTGATCACAGGTAAACAAATGTATGTATGTATAATGAAGTTTCTAAAGTAATTTTCAGGTAGACACTTTGCACAAATAATAAATCTGGTGGTACCAGATTTTATTCTGACTCATGAACTATCTAAGATGGCAATATTTGAGTCCCACAGATTCATTTATACGGTTTAGTGAAGTATCTTACATATATTACAAGCTTTCTATATTAGTAGCTTTTCTAAGAGTCACTAAAATTAAAGTATTTTTATAACCATGCAGTCAAGTACCACAGTGTCATAAAGCACTGTTAAACAGGGGAAGTTTAGATTGGATATAAGGAAGAAGTTCTTTACTGTAAGGGTGTCGAAGCACTGGAATGGCTTGCCCAGGGAAGTTGTGAATGCTCCATCCCTCGTGGTGTTCAAGGCCAGGTTGGACAGAGCCTTGGGTGACATGGTTTAGTGGGAGGAGTCCCTGCCCATGGCAGGGGGGTGGGAACTAGATGATCTTAAGGTCCTTTCCAACCCTAACTATTCTATGACTCTATGAATCATGGAAAGACTAGTCTTACAAGTCTAGAAGATGATTATACTGCTGATAAGGTCCACTTGGGAAACACAAATGTATCAGCAATACTTGTGAAGACATATCCTGAGCACATTTGATCCGTTTTTTAGAATTTCCTGTTTTCACCCATCATACAATTACTTCAGGTTTCCCTTGGTGATCTAACAAATTGTGATGCTGGAAACTAAAAGCATTTTATTTCCTGCAGTGCTGTGGGTGGTCTTGTGCAGCGATCAGCACAGGCACCTGGAGAGGGGGATTACACCTATGGTTGAATTCGATCATGTTAATGGTCCATTATATATTGTGTATAAGTGAAATATGGGTGTGCTTTGTCTTCTACATACAAGGGATACACTTCCCTCCTTAGTCATTTCATTACTTGAACCCATCTTAAAAATGGAGGAATCTTCCAACTAGATCACAATCTTTTTTGGAAGAAGCCCAGTATATCACACCATTCAGAAGACTGCAAAGAAAGAAACTTTTGATTCAAGGAGGGGTTTAGTTCCAAATGAGAGATTACATTATCACTCATTACTGAACACCAGAATCTTTGCATGAGACAACTAATATATACTGTAATATAGTAATTCTGAGTTAAGATCTAGCAGAACTGAAGTTATTAGCAATTTAAGAAAGATGAGCAGATACTGAAACCTTGCTGAACAACTGATTTAATTCAGCAAGTACTGATCATACACAGTCAATATATCAGTGGGTCAGCCAGCCCTGACAGATGTTAACAGTCTACTAAGATGGCATACAGTAAGGAAGCAAGCACATGCTGATTTTTCAAATAATAAAGAGTGCCCTTCCATCACAAAAGTTTTGTAAGAGAATCTCTGAATAGAAACTTAAATGTTTTCAGACATCAGTAAAAAAGAAAGTGAGTGCATTCAGGAAAGAAAAGCTGTAACTCAAATCAGACAGGAACTTGGACACGTTTAATTGGGGAAATCTCTGCTTTCTGCAGTGTTGGAGAAGTGCTGACATAGGCCAAGTCCCTATCCCTTGGCAGTATTAGCTGGATCATTAGGAAAAAGAAACAAAGTGGAAGCTGGGTGTTGTCTTTCCAGTGAAGAAAGCTGTAGAACTGATGTAATGTTTGATTTTCACAGTAGGCATTCATAGCATCTCCTCCATGGAGAGGCAGCAGAGGCTCCAGAACCAGCATTTATTCCCAGAACATCACTGCAACTTTAAAGATTCAACACTGGAAACAAATCCAATATTTGCACAGCAGCTATGAATCTCATATTACTGATTTTGCCTTTACGCTGTTCTGTAGTCACTGCTGAAATTGCATGGAACAGGATGGTCACGGATCTGCAGCAGCCTCTCTGACACTGACACACTAAGCAGGCTCTCAGGAGCTTGTGCACTCTCCTGGCATGGCATTTCACATGATGGGGATTTTGCAGGACAAGGAAGGCTACAGCCGGAACATTTGCATTACTAGACTGAGGCTGGAAAAAAAATGGAGCTTCTATTGTTCCCTAACAGAAACTGAAATGTCATCTTTATGTTCTAATAAAACTGATACTAAAAAATATCACAAACCTTTCTGCACCAAAAAAATACAAAACTCACTTTATCCAGCTTTTACCATGCTATACCAGTGTGTACTGCATATAAAATACCAAGCACAGAGCTGCAGATGATCCTTGCAAGTGTGTGCTAGACGTAACAAACTATAATTGGATCTAGCTATGAAAGGGTACATGGACATTATGGGTGATTGGAGTTAAAGCTGTTACAGAAGTTACGAAATGCACCCACAGCTAGTCCCAGCAACAGTAATGTCTCTGTATGGCTCCTTAACCTGCAAGCCTTTACTGAGCAGAAGATTGCTGGATAAAAAGAAGAGTGTATTTCATCTTTTCAGGAATAATCTGAAGGAGAAAAATCAGAATGTTTGAAAAAAATTAAGATACCCCTAGAATATCTAGCATACTTTAATGAAAGACACTCAGCTGCCTACAGTAACCAAAACAAATAGGTAGAAAAACACAGGTACAATTTTAATTCCTTACTAATATTTTGTTTTGACCAATAACTATGTAAAGATTAAGGATTACTACACACAAATAGATTCATCATAAGACTGGAAGTTATCATCAACAGTATAATTATGATTATTAATTCCACTGCATGGAGCAAAGGGTGTAATGGACAAACAAGACAAACAGAAGATCTCAAAAACATTATTGACATTTGTCCCCAGCACTGAATCAAGAGCTGAAGTTTCTGGCCTCAACTGGGTGATTCTTATCACTTTTTAAATCACAGCACCCTATACACAATTTCTCTTAACACTTGGAGACTGCTAACAGTTCTTGAATGGAATTTTGATATTTATAAAAGAAGTCCAGTTCCTTCTCAGATAAATGTTGAATTTGCATTCATGCATTTTCTATTAAAAACATTTGTTTGATACTGGTCTATTTATAAGCAAATTGCAAATTTTCTAGAAAGTTGCAGGAACACTAACTTATGCAAGGTAACATATGAAAAAGATATACATTTCTGCAACGGTTTGTCAGAAAGAAGCTAATATTGCTTTAGTCTCACTTTAAACATGACCCACACCAGTTCATTTTAGCTTTATGAGCTTCTAGCTAGAAGTTGGCTTTTATGGATCACGTTTCTAAATGTTATCCTTCCTGTCTTTACCTGGCTCATATGCAGGAAGAAAATGGTTGCCTGTTTTCTTCTTTCTCCTTCAGTTTTACTGTTGAGACCTATATTTCAGTAATTCACACTAGAATATCATTCTCTGGTCAAAACAAAAAGGAAGTATGTTTTGTACTTTAGACAGATGTCATATCTTAGAAACGTAAGAACGTTATTGTTAGAAAATTTTCTGTAGATCAGATGAGCCTTTATTGAAAAGTATAAGGAAAATATTGATGCTTCTGCATATGTTGCAGTCAGTCATTCTGGTACAGAAATAAAGAATGGACAAGTGATTGCATTTGAGAATCATTAAAAAAGAAGAAAATATTGCAATCCCAAGAAAGTCACTTGCAGAGAAGTTTATTAAGGGATTTATTAGTTCAGTGTATCAACTTTTATACTACTGACTAGGGAAGAGTTAAGACAGTATATCTAAATTCCATATGAAGAAGAGTCTGGGCCTGTTTTTTCTGATCATCGAAGTTTTCACAAACACTACTTTGTTACCTACATCACCTTTATGTATTTATAGGCAAGACACAAAAAAGGTGGAGAATTTGAAGCCTGATTTTTGATGTTAGATCTCATTTACTTAATACCGTATTCATTTTATTCAATCTAAAGCATGTTTATTGCTACGTAACATCAATTATTTAATGAGACAGTATAGTAATTTTTGTGCCCGTAGTGAAGAGTTACACTACTCTTCACATCAAAAAATATCAGGCAGTTTTATAGTATTGTTTTGTGTTTAAATGGAGCATATACAGTGTCTCCTCAGACTACAAGCATAGTACCTTGTTTTTTGGGGATCTAAAATGCAACATACCCTGGCAATCTTTTAATACTGGCAGGTTCAGCAAGTACTCCATGCAGCTTTTCTCCATGACAAGAATAGCTGTGGGAAGCTTGAAGAGTATAAAGAGGAAAAAGAAAAAAACTATCTGCACTTCAAAGATTCCCTTCAGATGAAGCAGATAGAAAATCCACATAGATTACTGTAGCAGCTGTATGTGAAATTAAGAAGTTGCCATCTCCAATATATGCATTTGCCTGAAGTATTCTCTATGTTTACATATTGTAGGGTGGACTCAGCTGTAAAGACATGTATTGTTTTTTTCCTTTGGTCTGAAAGTGTTAGGACTTTAAATCTGGGGTCTGTTAATACTGAGATCACATTTACAGTCCAAAGAATTACGTGTCCAGCATGTAGCAATCTTGATTATATTCCAGTCAGGATGTGGGAAAGATGCTATTAGAAACAAAACAATCAATTCACTTAGATGGTCCCACAAACATGCTTTATGGCATCTGCCTCCTACTCATTTTAAGTGAGGTTTTATAGTGACACATTGGTGAAGATTAGTACACAACTGCAGGCAGATGCCCATGACTGATTCAATTGTTTGCACTGACACTCACAATTGCTGTAATTGCAACTGAAGTGATACAAGCCATTGCAAAAAACAAAGTGAAACCAACATTGTTCCTCAGAGATTTTATTAGCTGAAATCCAGAAATGCACGATCCACTGTTTTTAATTTGTATGTGTTTACCACAGCATTTCTGTTTGCTGAGCATGCAATACTGTCCTCACTGATTTAACATAAGAAGATTCAAAAGGCCTCTTTAAAACCAGAACTTGTACATAAATGCAATACCCAGGCTCACTTGTTTTAAAAACATTTCTTTTCAGGAAAAGTGATTAAAAGATAAAGCAGCAAATAATTTTTAGAAAATCAGTAAGAACTTAATGTGACCCTAAATAAAGGCTATTTCTAAGCTCTATAGTTTTCCTGTGTGCTTGAAGCACAGCTTCCACTGTTCCTTTCCTGTTTTCCTCCCATAACCATTTAACAGCATTAATGTCCAAAGCTGGTATTTCTGAAGAGGGTGACCATCTTCTAAAGCCTCTGGAGAAAGAGAAAATGGATGTTTAGAACTAGGCAGTATCCAAAACCTTCCCAAGAAGAGATTACCATGTAGCTTGCCAAGCAAGTTCTCACACAGTACTGAAGACTTCCTTCAGACTCCCTAAACTACTGGTGGCTCAGTCCACAAGAATTAAAAGGTGATCCATGAAGAACTCGAGGGTTTAACATTCACATTTGACATGTGGCAAGGTAGATATGAATGCAGCAAAAACTTTAACTAATTTTAATGTTAGTTTTATTAATGAGATCATCTCCTCCCAGTATTTAAATTGGGATTAGACTTGCCAATATTTGGGGAAAAATACCTAAATCAACAATGCATTGCATCAGAAAGGAGTTCTGAGAAACGAAAGGCAAGTGTTTTACATGTCTCCGGTAACAGAACAGCACAGCACAGCACTGGAGAAGGTCAAATGCCCGGACAAGTTTCCTATAGAGAGACTTGTCAGCTCTGATGCTTTGAACACGAGGCTCACACCCACCTCCCATGCACACAGCTAGGGAAGCACACCTTGTACGTTAGCTGCACAAAAGAGTCATGCTGCAAGTCTGTGTCAGAGACAACCAGGCAGCTACACCTAGGGTCTGGGTAAGAGAGAGGGCATAGCACTGCCCTGTTCTGTGCCAGGAGTGGAGGAGGCGGCAGAGCTCTCCACTGAAAGAGAGACTTCAGCAGTCTATGCATGTAGCACAACTACCTTCTGTCTGTTAAGAATCTGCCCCCCATTTCTCATGATGGTTGACGACATGATATATAGGGATGCTGGGGAGGGACTCTTCATTAGGGACTGTAGTGATAGGACAAGGGGTAACGGGTTCAAACTTAAAACAGGGGAAGTTTAGATTGAATATAAGGAAGATGTTCTTTCCTGTTAGGGTGGTGAGGCACTGGAATGGGTTGCCCAGGGAGGTTGTGAATGCTCCATCCCTGGCAGTGTTCAAGACCAGGTTGGACGAGGCCTTGGGTGATATGGTTTAGTGTGAGGTGTCCCTGCCCAGGGCAGGGGGGTTGGAACTAGATGATCTTAAGGTCCTTTCCAACCCTAACGATTCTATGATTCTGTGACATCAAGCTAGAAGATGGGCTGGTGTATGGCACTAAATTAGAAGCTAGAAGGAGAGCACTAGTGGAAATGCTGTAGATACCAGAGTCGCAATTCCTGAGCGGGAAGCTGTGCAGCCAAATGGCCATGATCACCTTGCAGGTCTACCGGAGAAGGGGCTGCTCCTGTGCTGGGGGCACAGCACCCTGAAAACCAGGCGTGGCAAACTGTCCAGTAAAAGGCATTTCCTCTCTAATGCAGGCAAGTCAACAGGCCAGTGGAACAAGACTGTTGCCCTTAGTAGTTTTATTTTGGTAGCTTTTACATTCCGAACCAAGTTTTGTGGAATGCACCACAAAAGAGCACTTCCAGGCTTAGGCAGAAAAAAGAATAAACATTAGCCCAACTCTACAAAGAAGGATTAAAGTAATCAGAGATGTATCAGAAACTAAGGCAGGAACAGCAGCTGAACCAGATGCCCCAGGGTGAACTAGGGCTTAAATACAAAATCCCACTTCATACATGTATATGCTGATCTGTGCATTTGAAAACAAGATCTTACCTTCTTTACTGTTTTTGTCTTAAGAAGTCAAGAACCTCCTTATGTCCTGTAGACTCTGCCTGTAAGTAGAAACACGAATAAATCCTGCCATCCTGTGCACCAGGACATGCAAATACTTACCTGTGGGAAGTAAGAATATGTTACCACAAAATAATTAAAATAAAATTTAAATTTTAATTCCTCTGACATAGATGAGAAAATTATGGCTCCAACAATTTATTACTTCAGAACAGCATCAGATTTGAGTTTGTAACAAACTCTAATCTGCTCTATACTCCACAAAGCAGTATTTACTTTTCCCAAGCTACTATTACCCGACAGAGTGCATTATTACTCACATAGCTAGCACACCATACAGAGGTACAGACGTATGCACACTTACTACTTGTAGGGGATTCCTGCCATCATAACCAGTTTGCTTCAGGTCTGCACCAGCTAGGTACCAGGCATACAGCCCATCCACATCGCCTTTAGCTGTAAGGCTGGAAAAAGAATAATTAATACCGGTTCTAAGTATTTCGAAGTGCTCCTGCATCCTGTCACTTAGCTCAGCGGGCAAAAGATGACCCAGAACAGGCTCAACATGGCTGCCAAGGTAGAGAGGTAAGCAAAGGAACACTATTACAACAGCTTTGAATAGCTGAGCAAGCAACACAGCATGATGAATCAGTTCCTTAAATTAATAGGGCTGTGCTATAAGTACTTACAACAGGCTGGTTTCACATAGTGGGTGTGACTATGACCAAAGGGGAAAAAAAAGTCATGTAGTTTCATATTTCACAACACAATATTTATCTCATGAAATGAGTTGGGGGGAGGGCAGTGGGTAAATCAAGATGCAGCTAAGTGAGAGCACAAGCAGATGTGCTAGCAATTAGCATGCCTTATATAAAACCACCAGAAACCCCCTTCACAAGCTTGCCTAATTATGTTTGCTATAAGAAGTTAGGACAGCACATTTATGTGATCTCATTCGGACAGTAACACAGTAACATTTTTTGAGATTTACAGGATAATTTGTAACATTTAAATGAGCAGCAAGCAAAAAAAATAGCTTTTTAAAGATGACCTCTATCTGCCATGTGTAACAAGTAATGTAAAAGATCAAAATTAATCACATAATGTACACCAGATTGTTTCTTCACACATCTGGTAGTCTCATCCATAATATTTAAGGTTCATTTTGAACTTTTATTTGGTAAAAGAATGGCTAACAGCCTGTGCATATGCAAAGGCATGATGGTCTGTACCAAGCCTGTAGACAGGCTGAACTGACAGCAAGACTGGGAGGAGTACATTCAGTTTTCTCAAGACACCAACATCTGTCAGGCTGCAGACCTGAGCTTGCTTTACGCTTGCAGATTGTGTCAGCAGAACCATAATCAAGTGAGGTTGAATCTCATTAAGAAAGGGGGATCACTCCCCAAACCTTACAAAGTTCAGAGTTTGCTGCCTTAAACAGTGCTCACTCTGGGGGGAAGGCATACTGCTGGCAGAAGGGATGGAAGATGGTGACAAACTCCTGGGTATGACAACCAAGCCAGGCAGACCTGGTAGAGAGTGGAGAAGACTGGAAGCTGCAAGGGGCAGACAGTCAGATAAGCTTTTGAAGGAAACCGTGAAAGCAGGGCTGCAACATTCACTTCTCTGCTAGGCTGAAATCACTTCTGTTGTTGATTAAATCTCTTAAGTACCTGAAAAAATGTTTTCAGGTGAGTGGAAGCCTCTAATTGCAGCAGTCTGAAGAGGAAGTCAGAAGCTTTTCTTTGCAGCAGTCCCAGAGGCTGGGCATGGAAGGGGAAAGCAAACAGTCTCTCTCTGTGTTCCTCCATGCAATCCCCCCCAACCCTGAGGAAGGGCAGACCTACAGCTGGGGGTCTCTGGGGAACAGGGAAGTGGCAGTGGGGTGCTAGAAGATTTAACAGTGCTTCAGTCTGACATCATGAAGAAAAGGATCAATAAATCCTTAATGAAAATTGCCATCACAAAAAAAGGCCCCTATAAAGAATAAGGAAACAGAAGCAGGCAAAGGAAGTCTAACAGAAAGCTCAGTGGGAAGTCCTTAAGGAAGCTGCAGGAAAAAATAACCATTACTAAAAAGTGCAAGCATTAGTAAAGCAAAGAAATTGCTTAGCAGCCACTTCTGGAGCACAAGAATTATCTTTAAATATAATGATGAGTCTCTTGATGTTAACACTGGAAGGTCCCAGAATTAAGGTAAAAACAAACAAAAAGCCTACCTACCACATGACAATTACAACCATCTCCAGCACTGGACAGGAAAGCACTGTGTGCCAAAGAGAAACTCATTGTTTAGCCAGGTCAAAGCAGAAACCACTGGGCGAAGACCAGCACATTTAGAAATACTACCAACCTACACAGCCGGACAGTTCAGCCAGGATCACTGTAAGCAACAAAACAACTACTGCACTTACTGAAAATTAACTGCCTAATAGCTCCCGCTCACAAAAGGCAATTTAACCCACATTGCCAGGGGTCAAAACTGTGAAGTGTTCTCCTGTGACATTAGAGCAATCCAGATACACAGAACTATCTTCAATTTTGCAGCAGTCATTTAGTGATCAAGTGAGAAATGTATTCTATGGGGACTGTGACCCAGAGAACAAAAAAGCGATGTAGCTTGCTACAAAATTCAGACAGCACTCTGAAGAAAAGATTCCTACCATTCACTAAATTGATTATAATCAAGAACACCACAGAAGATTTTCTCCAATTTCAGATCTCCGTAGTCAAGCCATACACATCTGTATTTCCTTTACACATTGTAAGTGTGCTTCATATCATCAACTATATACACAGGACTTCTCAACATATGCTATATGTATTTTTTCCAGATATTTATGCCAGCAATTCCAACTACAAGTGCATCCTCTAAGCAGCAAGTCCATCATTTTTATATCATGAAATGGAATAAAAATAACTTCAATATTCACTTATCAGGATGTTTAAAACCTGCTTTGTTGACAAAGAACTACCTCTCACATTTTACTGAACTCTGATCGCTTTTACAGCAGATAATTAGCAGGGATGCTGCCTATCAATACTCTTGCATTTAGGAAAAATTATTATGTTCCCACTTCACAGTTTCAGCACAGTACTGAGTACAGTGAAATGACACCTTGGGGTTCCCCTCCTGCCTCCTCAGGTACTAGGATTTCATCTTTCCCAAGGACACAGAGCTCTGATTTTTCAGCGATTCTCCTTTTTCAGTGTCTATATACAGCAATTAGGAAATACTTTCTTTGGGGAGGGGAGGGGTGTATCATCACGGTGACAGAAGAGAAAATAATCCCCTCCCCCTTTTTATAATAAAAATCCTAAAAAGGCAAGTTAAAAGTCCACCACAAGGCATGGTTTGTTCCATCCTGAACACACTTGAGCTTGTTGCTCTTAGCTAGTATCTCCATGTCTCAGTTAAGAAAAACAGACTTTTTTGAAAGATAGCAGGCATTAGAACTTGGTCCTAATTCCTCCAGAGGCTTATTTATCCTTCCTCCTCCAGCCTAACTGCCCAAGTTTATGTTAAATTGAAGAAGCATCTTATTCTGAAAGTTACAGTATCACAGTATCACAGTATGCTAGAGATTGGAAGGGACCTCAAAAGATCATCTAGTCCAATCCCCCTGCCGGAGCAGGAACACCTAGATAATGTTACACAGGAATGTGTCCAGGCGGGTTTTGAATGTCTCCAGGGAAGGAGACTCCACAACCTCCCTGGGCAGCCTGTTCCAGTGTTCCGTCACCCTCACTGAGAAGAAGTTTCTTCTCAAGTTTAAGTGGAACCTCTTGTGTTCCAGTTTGTACCCATTACCCCTTGTCCTATCATTGTTTGCCACTGAGTAGAGCCTGGCTCCATCCTCGTGACACTCCCCCTTTATATATTTATATACACTAATAAGGTCACCCCTCAGTCTCCTCTTCTCCAAACTATAGAGACCCAGCTCCCTCAGTCTTTCCTCATAAGGGAGATGCTCCACTCCCTTAATCATCTTAGTTGCCCTGCGCTGGACTCTCTCCAGCAGCTCCCTGTCCTTCTTGAACTGAGGGGCCCAGAACTGGACACAATATTCCAGATGGGGTCTCACCAGGGCAGAGTAGAGGGGAAGGAGGACCTCTCTTGACCTACTAACCACCCCCCTTCTAATACACCCCAGGATGCCATTGGCCTTCTTAGCCACAAGGGCACAGTGTTGGCTCATGGTCATCCTGTCATCCACTAGGACCCCCAGGTCCCTCTCCCCTACACTGCTCTCTAACAGGTCGTTTCCCAACCTATACTGGAACCTGGGGTTGTTCCTGCCCAGATGCAGGACTCTACACTTTCCCTTGTTATATTTCATCAAGTTATTCCCTGCCCAACTCTCCAGCCTGTCCAGGTCTCGCTGGATGGCAGCACAGCCTTCTGGTGTGTCAGCCACTCCTCCCAGCTTAGTGTCATCAGCAAACTTGCTGATAGTACACTCAATTCCCTCATCTAAATCATTGATGAATATATTAAATAATACCAGCCCCAGTACTGACCCTTGAGGCACTCCACTAGTTACAGGCCTCCAACTAGACTCTGCCCCATAGACTACAACTCTCTGGCTTCTCTCCTTCAGCCAGTTCACAGTCCACCTCACTACCTGATCATCCAGACCACACTTCCTCAATTTAGCCGTGAGGATGCTGTGGGAGACTGTGTCAAATGCTTTGCTGAAGTCAAGGTAGACCACATCCACCGCTCTGCCATCATCCATCCACCGTGTTATTTCCTCATAAAAGGCTAAGAGATTGGTCAAGCATGATTTCCCCTTGGTGAAGCCATGTTGACTGCCCCTCATAACCCTCTTATCCTTGATATGCCTTAAGATGGCACCAAGGATAAGGTGTTCCATCACTTTCCCAGGGATGGAGGTGAGGCTGACGGGTCTATAGTTACCCGGGTCCTCCTTCTTGCCCTTTTTGAAGACTGGAGTGACATTCGCCTTCCTCCAGTCCTCAGGCACCTCTCCCGTTTCCCAAGACTTGGCAAAGATGATGGAGAGCGGTCTAGCAATGACTTCCGCCAGTTCCCTCAGCACCCGCGGGTGCATCCCATCTGGACCCATGGATTTATGGATGTCCAGATTGCTCAACTGGTCTCTAACCCATTCCTCATAGACTAAGGCAAACCGCTCCGTTGACCTGACTTCATCTAAGTCTCAGGGGTACAGGGCTCTTCAGGACTGCCTGCAGCAGAGTAGACAGAGACAAAGAAGGCATTCAGTAACTCTGCCATCTCTGCATCTTCTGTCACCAGGGCACCCATCCCGTTCATCAGTGGGCCTGCATTGCCTCTGGTGTTAGTTTTATCTGCCATGTATATGAAAAAGCTCTTTTTGCTGTCCTTGACCCTTCTCACCAGGTTTAATTCTAAGGAGGCCTTAGTCATCCTAGCTGCCTTCCTACATCCTCTAGCAGCAGCCTTATGTTCCTCCCAAGTGGCCAGCCCCTCCTTCCATGACCTGTAAACTCTCCTCTTCCACTTGAGCATACCCAACAATTCCCTGTTTAGCCACACAGGTCTCCTGGCCCTCTTCCTTGACTTCCTACGTGTCGGGATGCTCCGATCTTGAGCTCGGAAAAAGCAATCCTTGAATGCCAACCAACTATCGTGGGCCCCTTTACCTTCAAACAGCCTTGCCCATGGGATTTCCCCTAGCAATTGCTTGAAAAGGCCAAAGTTTGCCCTGCTAAAGTCCAGGGTTGCAATTCTACTTGCTATTCTACTAGTCCTACCACACAAGATCCTGAATTCCACCATCTCGTGGTCGCTGCAACCAAGGCAGCCCTCTACCCTTACTGCTTCGACCAGACCCTCCTTGTTAGTGAGAATGAGATCCAGCAGCGCTCCTCTCCTGGTCGGCTCATCCACCATTTGCAGGAGGAAGTTATCATCCATACACTGGAGGAACCTCCTGGACTGCGGCTGGGTTGCCGAGTGGTCCTTCCAGCAAACATCAGGGAAGTTAAAATCCCCCACGACGACCACGGCCTGTGACTGTGAGGCCGCTCTCAGCTGCCTGTAGAAGGCCTCGTCAACTTCCTCACCCTGATCTGCTGGCCTGTAACAGACACCCACAACAGTATCGCCCCTGCCAGCCTGCCCCTTAATTCTCACCCACAGACTCTCAACTCGCTCGTCATCTGTCCCTGGACAGAACTCGGTGCATTGTAGTTCCTCCCGCACATAAAGAGCAACCCCACCACCCCGCCTGGCTGGCCTGTCTTTCCTGAAAAGGACATAGCCCTCCATGACTATATTCCAGTCATGTGAGCTGTCCCACCACGTCTCTGTAATTGCCACCAGATCATAGTCTCCTGACTTAACACAGGTTTCCAACTCCTCCTGTTTATTTCCCATGCTGCGCACATTGGTGTACAGACATTCCAGGGAGCGAGCTGAGCACACCGATTTCACCCTAGGATTATAGGAGGCCTCCCAGTCTTCATCAATTCTGGAGTGCTACCCCACTGGGGCAAGCCCAGCTACAACCCCATCCCCCTTCGAATCTAGTTTAAAGCTCTCCAAATGAGCCCTGCTAATTCGTGCCCCAGCATCCTTTTGCCTCTGTGAAATAAACCTTTCCCATTTGTCATTGTCCAGACTGGTGCCCTATAAAACCAGCTGTTACCAAAGAATCCAAAGCCCTGCCTGCAGCACCAGTCTCGAAGCCAATTGTTTATGAACTGAATCTTCCCATTCCTTCCCACATCATCAGTGGAAGATGGAAGGAGTGAGGAGAAGATCACTTGAGCCCCAGACTCTTTCACCATTCGCCCCAAGGCCCTGTAGTCTTTCTTCATCCCCCTCAGACTGCGGGAAGCAGCTTCCCCCTCACCTGTCTGGAAGACCAGCAGCGGGTAGTAGTCTGTCGGGTGCACCAGGCTGGGGAGCGCCCTAGTGATATCCCTGATCCGGGCTCCAGGCAGACTACACACTTCCCTATGATGAGGGTCAACTCTGCGTATCGGGCCCTCTGTTCCTCTCAGAAGTTGCTGATTTTGAAAGGCTGCAACCTTGTATATCACTTTATGAAATCTAAGAATATCAAAGAGAAACCTGGTTTGGCTTTATGCCCTACTTAATTTTGTGAAGTACAGACTTGAACAGAGTATTTCAATTCTATACAAGCCTTTTTTTCTTTAAAAACAAACACAAAGCAACTGTTTACCAACTCCAGAACTCAATAAGCTTTCAGAGTAAGTCTGAGTGTCCCAATTTATCTCATCATGGTTTGGTTTTGCAGACAGATGACAATAATACTGCAATATGAGAAGAGATTCTGACATTTTTAACAGATTACTATCACTGAGATCTCTTTTTTTATTTCAAAACAAAGTCATGAATCAGATACCAAACACCAACAAAGTGACTCTAAAAATCAAACTAGTATCTCTCCTTAAAAAAAGAAACTGGCAAATGAAACCATGAAAGATTTAATAAGTAGATCATCCTGGCTGCACCTGTGTGCATCTCCATTTCCTACACAAGAGTTCCCACTAATACTGGCCAACTCTCAATTCTGGTTGTTACTCCCTTCCCTCTCATTTATTTAATCTTCAAAATCTTCCAACTGAACTATTCTATTCTAAAACTATAAGTCTAAACAGAAGGAAGCCAAGGAGACAGTATTAGAACACACAAATTACTGGTTATGGTCTTTTATGAAAACCAGTTTGTTTCAGAATAGGTAAGTAGCAACAGAGGGAAGATGTCTTAAAGGACTTGTTCTGTGAGCAGCTTAACCATGTTGACTGCCATGAAGGTGCAAGTGCCTGCAAGGAGAAGGCTTAAAACGAGGAGGTAAGAGGTATGACAGAGAAGTGTGCATAAGCATGGAAAATGAGTGTATCAGTAAGGTCATCTGAGGATAATCCAGAAGACGCATCTGAGACATTTTGTCAGGAGGACAAACACCAGTACATCAGATTTAGTAACTTCTAAGCATCTGGATAATGCTCTGTGGAAAAAGTCCACTTTGGTGCAAAATATTACCAGGCCTTCAAAAACACGAAGAGGAAGGAAAGCCCTTTAACTGTAGGAGCAGCCGCTATCCACAGACACTTCAGTGCCATCTCAAAGCCTGACCACTGACTCAGGCTGGCTGTGCTCCTGGTGTAGGCCAAGCAGTGACATCTGTCAGTGGGCATGCCTCTGGCCACAGCCACTACTTCAGCTGCCAGCCAGGAGAGAGCCAAGACACTGGCTCCTGACCCATGCCAAGGTGAGCCCTCTCACCCTGAGTACAGTCCTTGTTCAGCCTCTGTACACGTGCATTCCTGCCTTCTGTTTAGAAACTTTGAACTACAGGCTACCACACAATACAGATGCAGGGTGCATGATATTCCCTACAATGCTGTAGCAAACTGCATTAGAACCACATTTTGTTTAAAGGACTTCTATGGACACATTACTACCAGGTCAGCTAGCTAAACTGGTTGTGCATGTGGCACCACGGCTAAGTAAAGGGGCCAGTTTATTTGCAGAAGAATGTCATTCCCTAAGCCACTCCTCTTGCTACCTTGGCAGATGGAAGCTACACAAACCAAGAGTTTAGTTCTGTTCTATCAATCATTTGCAGTGCCCTGAGAAATGCAGATTTTAACTTCATGCCAAGTCCTGATATGAATGCTGGTACTCAGGGTTGGGGGTTTTTTGTTTGTTTTTAAGAAGAAAAGAAGAAATGAATTAAAAAGTGTAAGTAATTTTAGGAAATACATGAAACCTTCACACTATTTTCAGAGTAATTTGTAATTCAGGACCAGTACCGGAAAAAATAAAATCAAGTATCTATTTCTTTTCATAATATATATTCCTATCATTAAATTATCTTATATAGTAAAAGCAACTGTATGGAAAACCAGCTTTAACAGGGCATTATACCTTTTTAAATTAAATATATAGCCAGTGAGAGGTTGTTGGGAAGTTTTGGGATTAAACATATTTGTCTCTGTTATTTAGTTATTTTTAAGAATAATGTTGTATGATAGAGTAGAAGCCATTCCCACATAACTGAAAAGTGGATTTTAAGAAAATAAAAATGATGCACTATGTGCAGCATTATTCTCCATTTGGGATGCTATTAAATCACACCTTGCACAGCTTCCTCTTTACACTTCCTCAGTGAAAGTGCTTGGAAAACAACTGGGCGTATTTGCTTCCAAGTTCATGTAGCCCCACAATACCTCCTACTTTGGAGCCCTCTTGAGTTACTGGTGCTCCAACACAGAGCTGATTCTTAATTTCATCATTTTACTTGTTTCCTTATTATTAGTCTAGCACAGAAACAGCCACATCACGTGCCAGGGACCCAACTTGTTCTTGGAAGATGTCTACATACTGTTCTCCATTCTGAGAGCCTCTTCAGAAAAATTATCCCATTCTATCACATCCCAGTTTTAGGGCCACCTCACCTTATATAACATTTACCTGCAGAGTATTGTTCCAATGTTCTCCAAGTCCTGGCTTGAAAGGTGCGCTCCCGTTTCTCTTAACAAATTAATCACTTGTATGTGCCTTTATGAAAGGAATAAACAGAGAAAGTGTCTTGACCAGTAAGCTTTTTCCCCCTAAATCCAACATTACCCAAATACACAAACAGTGAAATTTCTTATACGATATTTGCCACTATCAGAGAACCCATGAATCTTCTCCAAGGTAAATGCAGCAAACAGAGCTGCCCTCCCAGTCAAAAAATCATTCACATACTAAACTCATGGAGTGCTAAGCTCAGCTCTGAAAATGAAAGGGATGCATCCTCTTCAGAGGATTTTTATTTTCTCTACCTTAGTGCTAGCTTAATTTAACACTTGAAATATTAGTAATTGAAATACATGCAAACAGTGAGGACATTTATTACATAGCATCATTCCTGTACTTTACAGAATACAATGCACATATTTATCAGTTCTGAATAAAATTTATTTGTTTCAGTTAAGCAATGAATCTTTACATCAACACAGTTGCTAATCAGGTGTTGTTTTGTTTTTTTTTAGGAAGTATTCCTTGTCCTTTCCTTTGAGATAAAGGGACAAATGGATATTTAAGCACTACCAGCCAATTCCTGTATCTTAGTCAGATAATTGAGAAAATCTACAGAAAAAGTCAGTCTCTAAAGGTACTACTGTGGATAGGAAATACCATGACAGATGACAAATGTACAACACACGTTTTTCACAACTGACCTAGTGAAAGGTTCAGAACTAGGTTTGAAAAGGAGGTGACAGCCTGCTTCTCTGCTCAACAAATGATCTACTTTACAAATCCAAACACTTTTTTTCGCCTCCAAAAAAACTATGATGACACCAGTATATCAGGAATAGTTTCACAGTTCCTCTTATAAGTAAGTCACTACACCATAACACTTTAAAACAAAGAGTTGGGCATGTCATAGGGTGTTGAGGCACTGGAACAGGTTACCCAGAGAAGCTGTGGATGCCCCATCCCTGGCAGTGTCCAAGGCCAGGTTGGATAGGGCTTTTAGTAACCTGGTCTAGTAGATGTCCTTGGCCATGGCAGGGGGTTGGAACTAGATGATTTTGAAGCTCCCTTCCAACCCAAACCCTTCTATGATTCTATGATCATTGTAATATGAAATATGTGGGTTTTTCCAACCCATTACCTAAAGCCTCATCTGTAGTAATTAAAAACAAAAGTAAGCTTACACATACTTTCTGCTAAATCACTTGCATTTTCTTTGGAGGTAGCCATGGACCTTTCCATTTTAGAACTTGGCTAAACCACTTATCTCATCCCTGTACCTCTTTTTAGGAAACTCCATCTAGAATGAGAATTTACCTTACAGGGCTGTATTAATCCTCTGTAAACTTACACATTTCATGTATGAACTTAATTTATAAACTAAGCAAAGAACTGTACAAAGGCTGTAGGAATCATTTTGCTTTTCCAAACACAGGTTACTTAACCTACCAGACAGATTATTTTAAATTGTACTTTGTTTCATGTGCATAAAAAATAAATAATCTTTCTTCATTTCATGGCAAAGTGTTGCTGGAACAGCACATGCTGCAGGTTAGTTGAGCTATCTGAAATATTTTTTCAGGTGGGTCCCTTACGACATGGCTAGTCATCCACAAGAATCTCCTTGAGCCAGCAAATAATGGCACAGCTTCCTATTTCAGTCTGTGATGAAGAATGAATTCTACATATATGACATTTTTAGTTCAGACTGAAGCAGAACAGTAGTCAGCTGAAGAGAAATTTGACATAAAATAGATTAAAGTAGAATATGTCTGTTCACTCAAGCTCACACTGGATACAGAACTGAAAATGGGAAGTGTCTGCTTACTCTCCAATGACTGCCCTATACCATTCCTTGTTTCCTACCTTGTATTTGAAATCACAGCATGAAACTAATGCTTTTTAAAATAAAAGCTATGAAAAGATAAAAGCATGAAAAGATAAAAGGCAGCAAAGCATGCAATGCTGTGTGTTATCTTGCCTCAGTGTGTTTCCCCTATGAAGTCCGTATCCTTGAATTCTAATGAAGAGACAGAGCTGGGTTTTTTTCCCCTCTGTTGTAACTAATTACTACTCACTGGTAGTGAGATTCCCTCCAGAAAGCATTTCATGCCCCACCTACACCACATAGACATTACAACTCTGAGTGGGACTCTATAATTTGATACAGACAGATCTGGGAGCATTCACCCCACATTTAATACACAAATTTAAGTGAGGAAAAATAGTGGTTTGAAATAAGATAAATATTTAAGCATTGAACCTACGAATGTTTACAATAAATGCTTACAATAAAACATTTCTAAATAGAAGTACAACGTCCTGATGACTGGGAATCATTCAAAATCATGCTTCTTGGTATGAAGAAGAGGAAGTGGTATATACCACACTGCTTGCTAACGGAAGGGTAAGAGAGGGGAAGAATAAGGACAAATAGTATTGGACATCTTAAAAGTGTTAAATTTAGCGCTGTGACTATGAAGAACATAGTCCTATATACAACATACTGTGACTATGAAGCAACAGATCCATCCAAGAAAGCAAATGGACCACCTCACACATTCCCATCACTCAACATGAAAACTATGCGGGAGGTAAGTCACACTACAGCTTGTTCCTACTTGCACTCAAACAGTATTTACATTCTGCAGAAACTTAAGCCCTATCCAGAGTACTACTTCTCCTGTCTTGTACCTACCATAAGAGCATTATTACTATTTCAAGAGGCTGGCTGTGAATTTTCTGATACTGTTATGTCTTAGGCACATAAGAGGTATTTGTCTTTAGAAGTTGTTTAAGTACTGCTCTCCTGTGGCTTTACAAAAGCCTCACAAGGGTCACAGTTTAGCTGACCTGAAGTTCAGCTGATGTCATGAACCATGAACTTCTTGGGAACAGTTCAAATGCAAATCCCATTTTAAGGTGACAGCATAAAACCAAAAGCAGAGCAACTGCTGGACAATGAAAGTCCAAGGTGCAGAAGGAAGGCCAACACCATCATGTTAACCCGGAGTGCACAGCCGCTTGTCTAGTCTAGCCCCATCTGATAAGCAAAACCATAAGGAGCTGTTGTCACCTGCGGACTGTTCCTGACTCTCCCTGTTCTTACCAAAATGTGCCTCTTGTTCAGACACTGCTGTAGAAGAAATGCTATTTTGCATATGTTATTTAAGTTAGCCTTTTCACTGTCATTAATCTGCTCTCTGAAGGAAAACACAGACAAAAAGGGTTTCTAGTGTCTCCTCCCTGCTAGATTCCATTACTGATAACACTGGAGATAAAATCCCCAGCATATACAAATATTTTAATGGATTAATAGCAAAATAAATGATTCAGTGTGGTCTTCAGCATTCACTGCTATGAGTGAAGTCTGAGTTCCACTTAAAAGCATATGAACTCTTATGGTTCATGAGGGTTCTGGATTCTACAGTAGTCAAGGTGCAGTACAGTACATATCATCTTAGGCCCTCATTTGGCAGATACTTATTAGAAGTGAATCAACTTAAAAAGGGATGAATCACACATGTGAAATTAATACACATGTAAGAGTTCGCAGGATTGGGGCCTTAGGGTGCACACCTTCCACCAAGTCTCTTTAAAGAAACACAGGTGTCATGTATATCCAAACTTGACTGGCTTCATTCTTTTTCATGCTTGCTCCCCTAGCAACTGGAATGGTTATGGCAGCTTAGTTTTACTTGTTTGGTTTTCTCCATCATATCAGTGGGAATTTTATGCTCAAATACTGCAAGCACAGGCTTCAGAGCATTTCTGGAGTCAGTGGTGGTTAGATTTTCACTCTGCCTTAGATTTCCTGAAGTAATGTAAATGTAACCTTGCAAAATATCAAGTATTTAAATTCATATTTACGTGGGAGGTAATTTTACTGCTTCTAATCTGATGTTCTCACAGCACTGTATGAGCAACTCCCCATTTTCAACCTTCTACCACTGCTCTACAAGTAAGTGGAAGTACTGTTACTACATTAAATATACACAGTTTTTTTTAAAGACATCTTCCTGCTTAGAGAGTTTCTATTATTAAAAGAATATTATTCTATTGTTTTGAAAATGAATTATCCCTTCAGGGTACTGTAAGAAATTAAAGGAATGCTACTAATTTTGATATGTCAAGCACCTGGCCTATATTAACAGTGGTCTGTTTTAGCTTCATGCGTAGAGTGCATGAGACTACACACAAATAGCAGTTACAAATGAAAAAGCAGAAATGCAGTAGTTTATTTCTTATTTAGAAGTGGACTCCACATTCTATCATCTAAAGAAACAAAGAAAGAGTCCCTTAAATTAACAAAAATTAAGAGATTATCATTGGTATAGCTCAAGTAGCCAGTCTGCTGGCTGCTACGTTAAGAAGCTTTTAAGAAGAGACGTAACTCCTGATCATCCTCACAAATTATAAGATGGAAAAGAGACATCAGTCACCATTATATAAGCTTGCACGCTTAGGTAAAAGGCAAGCTACTGACAAATGTGACACAAAAAACTGGAAGAAAGCTATTTTTAAGATGAGTGGATACTCTACTGCAGTTAAATGCCAATTAAACAAATATTAATTCTCACAAAACACGATTAAGCTGATGCAACATTCAGTAAAATTGAGAAAGTTACAATATTAAACAGTTTAAAAACATTGACTGCTCAGAAAGATCAGTTTTCCCTCTTCCTTCTCTGCCTCTTTGTACACTGCATCAGGACAACCTTTTTGCTTTCTGCATGCAACTATTTAATAAATAGAATTTAAATATTTCTATAGCAGAAATATTTTTAGTGGGTATCTAATTATGCACATATACAGCTGTCTGCTCTTTACCATTCTCCTTTATATGCTTATCAGTGTGAAATGCAGTGTGAGCACACAGCAGATCATAAAAACACATTTATAAGATTAGTTTTAAGTCTACTCTTCCTCTTACTCCAACAGTAAAAACAAAAAGAGAAACTGAAAATGGTTATGGTGCAGTTTCCTTTTACAATTCCCTATATCAAAATGGGTGTGCAGTTTTAAAGTGTTTAAGAGTCATCGTAAGAGTCTGATACAGGAGTGGCAATGCAAAGGAATCCAAACAACAAGCTCATGTGAAATTCCTCAGGCAGTAGATGGGTGCGGTAAAAAAAGTAGGTGCCTGATTTGCAGGAACTTCTAATGGTATCTAATACTTTAGCATTTTCTCACATTGGACCAGAGCCACCTCTATTCAACTGCAAGGTTATTTGTTTGATTTGCTGTTGGGCTTGTTTTTGCTTTGAGTTTAAGGGTTTGCCACTGAAGGACTTACATATTCATGAGATAAAGCAACAACTACAAAGCCATAGGGGACCATACATTAGGTATGGCAATAGCACAGTGTGGCCACACAGGATTTCAAGCCTCAAGTTAAGAAAGCATGTTGAGTTTTCCACATCTGGTCTTTGAGACAGAAAAAGCCTTCAAGTTATTCCTGCAGCCAATGCAATACCAGGACTGTCAGACCTCCCACGCAGGTAACTCCAGCCTGACAGACCAGGTAAACTTGTCAGCGTTAGAAAGCTGTAGGAGTATCTGGGGAGAGACATCCATGAAGACCATGAAAATCCTATCACTCCAAGCTCCTTTACAAAAAAAACCTTCTCTCCTGCCATCATACAGACTGAATATGAGATAAGGAACTGAAAGTGGATCAAAGAAACAGGAGATTAGAGCATGCAGTTTCTAACATGTTAGAAGACCAATGGCTCTATGAATCCCCAGGCTATATAAATTGTTTTAAAATTGAATTTTGATAACTGATAGCGTTTATAGTCTGTGCTATGGCCATTCCTTAGGACTATACAACATGGAAGAAACTAGTAAATTGCATGCCCATGACTACTATTCAAGATCTGCTGAGATCCAGAAGAACAGGAAGAGGAAATCCACAGAGCAGGCTGAGCCATGCAGCCATCCCATATAATTAGGAGTGGGCGGAAAAGAAAAATCAAAAAACCAGTCACCGAGCAAGAGACTCGGGAAAGCACTGGTAGAAGGGAAAGATTAAACGTACCAACCTACCAGTATATTTTGTGCCAATTGAAACAGTCTGCGTTTGATGAGAAAGGAGAGGGCAGAAAGAAAACAGCCCTTGGTCCTGCTAGCTCACTTCTGACAGTCAAAAGGAGTGATCAGTTTGGCTCTGCTTTATGAGGAAGCTTCATAACAAAGAGCGGAGCCCTGAAATTACAGACAAAGTCTTGGCATGAAGGTAGCAATAAGTTACCTTATGCTAAAATTCTGCATGCATACCAAGTTGTCTGCTTTCACAGTGTCACAGAATGGTTTGGGTTGGAAGGGACCTTAAAGATCATCTAGTTCCAACCCCCCTGCCATGGGCTTTCATGTCATATTATTTTGAAACAATCTTAATTTAGACTAGTCACATTCTTTGAAATGAAGCTGGTTTCTGTTACTTTATCTGATGTCATTTACTTGTTTGCTGAGACAAAACAAGACCAAACGCAAGTATGGACTTTAAATCCAGAATGACAGAAGGCTCATAAACATTACATAGAGAAGTGTATAAATTATTTTGTTACCTGAACTTGATCGCATTCATCAGCGGGGTAGATCCGTATCTGTCTCTAGCATAAACAGTTGCACCAGATGTCAACAAATACTCAACTAATGGTAAATGCCCTTCAGAGGCTGCAATATGAAGTGGAGTTCGGCCATCATAGTCTCCACAGCTCAGGTTTCCACCCTACAAAAAGACAGATACTTTGCATACCACAAAGATAATGGCCACACATGAAGTTGTTGGTACAACAGTCGATGCATACAACACATTTACATTCTGCCACCAAAATGGTAAGCTTGTCAAATTTACTTAAAATTTACCTTGTGGCATTGTTTTAGCACCAATAAAGACACTTATTCCACCTTCTGCATGTTCTCCCCTCCACATATTTGCATTATTCATTCCACCTTCTCCATGTTCCCCCCTCCACGTATTCTCATTACAGCCCCTTCAGATATGCTCTTTATTGCAGTAGACCACACAGCAGCTTTGTGCCTACAGTCTGCTAATTTTACTTGTCTTAGTTTATTGTTATTTTCAAGATATATTTATCCTTACTCGAGCCCAATTATTGAAGTCTCAGGACCAAAGCAAAGAGAGAAAAAAAGAAAAGAGGTGTAGAAGATAATACAGTGAAATGTCTGATTCTAAGACTTAGGTAGTTGCTTACCAGTAATTATAGCTTCCTCCTGTCATTTACAACTCTATTTAAAAATTAATGTTTTGTACAACTGTTAATTTTACATTACCATTTCTGCTATGGCTCTTAGTGCATCAATGTCACCCAGTTTAGCTGCAGCACAAGCCAAAGGTGGAATTAATGCATCTCTTATGGCTTCTAACTCCTGAGAAACAAATTAAATTAAACATTAAATATCAGCCTCGCCTCTAATGTGATTGATGTCTAAGTCATAAAAATACTACCCTCGCTTTCATGTAAAGTTTCCAAATTAGTCATTTGGATATTTAAAAATGGTAGCATTTAGTTCTTGGAAGGAAAGAAGTCTTATGTTTATTTTACATTTTGTCGGTCTCACATCATAAAATTTATATTCCTCCCTGGCAAAACTACAATAACCTGATACGTATATATACTTATGCCATTTAAACTATGTACTTATTAACATCTCAGTACTGCCACAGTTTCACATCAGTACAGTAAGAGAAACAGCACTGGTAGAAGTTGGGAAAGACCATATAGTCTAGCCACCTCAAGACTGGTTCAACTGTCTTAATGTGATTCCTCAGACATTTGTGTAACCTGTACCTCCAAACTTCCACTGACAAGCCCCACAGGCCCCCTAAATATCCTCCCATTTCTCAGACTTACTAAAGAAGAACCATACATTCAGCATTCATTAGCTACTAAAAACTCCATCTTCCCTGAAACCAAGCCAAGAGAAAAGCAAATACTTATATCTTACAATCAATACTGTATTTTCTGATTTGCCAGTTGTGAGGGACTAATACTAAACACCACAAGTTACACTTGTATAGTGCTTCCCTAGTAGCAGCCTTCTATGACTGCATGTAAAATTAAGCTGGTTTCCCCATTATTATTTGGATTCCTCCAAACTGTCAATACATTGGACCACAGAAATACTAAGCACTTCTTGATATCATTGACAGCTTGAATTACAGCAATTGTCTGAAGCTTGTTACTGCAACTAGGCAGCCAAAAAAATAAACTCAAGATGGGGCTACAAAGAGGGAAAAAAAAAAAAAAAGTTAATATGTTTTTAATTAAAAACATTTTAATGTTATGCTTGTCATTGTGTCCTTTCTCCCTAACCCAACTGGTTAGCTGGGACACTCAGTACTGAAAAATAACATAAAAGCTCCAATGTTCCATTTTCTTTCAGCTTTGCAGTTCATCTTTAAGCTAGTCTCATTTAACTGAGTTTACAGCTTTACATGAGTTCAATTTTAAATATTTAAGTCTGTACCTCCTTGCTGCTGATACTCAGAGATTTGGCAATCACTTGAATAAACTTGCTATCTCTCAGAGAGATCTTGGCTCCTGTGGGTACAACAGTCATTTCTCCTCTTAGATTCTCACTCAGCATCTGAAAAGCAAGCAATCAAATCCTTTGTTAGCAGAGGAAAAATATGGTAGCAGCCTAATAAAAAAAACCTTAGGTCAAGTTAGAAAATTGTTTGGAGAAATTATGGAAACTAACTGAATGCAGACAAAAGATTAAAGAAATAGTTACTGTTCCATGAAGACTGCAAGTTTAAAAAGGGGGAGGGGCAAAAGGCAAATAAAACTTTCTTCCAAAGCAAAGAAACAAAAATAAGCATATAACAAAACACCCCATTTTTCAGTGTATGTAGACAAAAGTTTCCTAGTGGGGTAAGCTGCAGCCTACTTAAAAACACAAAGATAGTAAGTAATTAGCAGAGTAAGGCTGAAGACCAGAATATTCTGAAATGCTGCCTTTTGCCAGCAATCTCAAACCTCAATACTCCTACACGGACTCTGTATGTAGGCCTCAAAACAAAGCCAAGTGCTGCCTGTGAATAGTCATGTATTTCAGTGGGTTTTCAAATGGCTTAATTAGCCCAGATTTTGTTAAAATTTGGCCACAGAGCCAGCTTTGAATGCAGAGAGTCTACAGTAGTTCTAGTAATTCTGTATTAAACCAGGCGTGTAACAGTTTGCAGGATGGGTGCATGCAATAATATAACCAGGAAGAAAAAAACCAACCTACAACCAAACCAACAAAAAGTCTGCCAATTCATGTATAGCAAGTGCTTGAATATGGCAATAAAGAAATGAAAGTACTCCAAAACAGGTTCTGGGAAACCTGGAGAACAGAGTGTGAAGCTAGCCATTAAGAAAAAGCAACTAGATTCCTCAGTTCTGACAATTTTACATATTGGCACTGTTTCACAAAAGGCTGCTGATGTAGCTATAAAGGAGGACGTAGTTATTTCAATTAGAATTTTAAAAAGCAGGATTGTGAAAGTTTGCAAAAACCAGATGGGATGTTGGAAGGAGGAATGCCCCAGGTTTACTTATGTCTAGGCATGCCCTTTATTAAAAAACCTCCAAGAGCTGACAACACTGTAGTTGTCTGCTGGAAGAGTCCCATATGCATGTAACTCAGAGGATACCAACTGCTTTGGCGCACTTTTAGAGTCTGACAGGTTGAGATCATTGCTTTGCGCAGGTAACCTTAGCAATTGGCACCTGTGCTAAATGCACCCAATGGAAAGCCCTGTGTGCCTTAGTCCTACCAGCTCTGCAGCCATTTGCATGTGTCTGGGGGCACATTCCTTGCTTCTTCATGTTGAAAGAGAATCCTAAAATAACCACATCAGCTTCAGGAGAGCTTCCGTCTCTTGGGAGACTATTGTTTGGTGATATGTTTAGCTGAAGATATTGCCACAGACAACATATTTCCAGGCTTTCTTCTTCTCATGGTCTCTACCACTCATTCCTGCCCAGGCAGTGCAGCATGCTGCTTCCTTACTTGTGCCAACACAATTGTTTGTGGGTATGTACAATGAGTCAAATGAGGAAACTGATCCTGCTTAATTCAAAGAAATTGCAAAAGTTATTTTGTTTTTCAAACCATACAAAGGAGGTTCCAGTACCACCACAGAAAAACTGCCTAACACATTCCAAAGGGCAGCACATGAAGATGCAGGAGTACCATATGCCAGTGGTACCTTAAACATCCTATCTCCAAGTCCTCACCTGAGTAAGGCAGCTATCTCACCTCAGCAAAGTGGATCTCAAATTAAGTTTTAACTCACACACCTAGGCAGGAAGCCAGCTGGGAAAGTCACTCCTGTCCCAGGTCAAATAATTCTCTGTGCAAGAAAATTAAAGTCTGCATTAAAAAAAAACAGGCCAGTTTGTTCCAGGGTCAGCGAGTGTACCAGAGGGACATCAGTGAAAAGCCTGGGTTTCTAAAGTGTATGTACACAAACACATGCAATACCATTACTCTTCACACAGCATTTTGTCTCCTGTCAAGCATATTCTTGCACACAGTACATTCTTGCCATCCTCACCAAAAAAACCACATAGCTCCTCCTCTCATTTTTCATAGCCAGGGCTTTGGCAAACAACCAAAAGCTCAGAGTCTGAAACTGTTTCTAAGCATGCCAAGTGGTACTTCCAGCCACCCTACTTATCATCCTAGGTATCCAAATATGTTTGTTTGAACAGCTGCTACTGGTTGGAAGATGTTGAACATGAAATAATGATCAAATTTGTTTCAGTTTTAATAAAAACAGAACATCCTAAGATACACATGTGCATGCAGTGCTTAAGTCTAGAGAGTGACTCATCATGATGTCATCTCTGACAGTGTCAGGATTATGATTTCACTGCATGTGAGCACAGAAAGACATGCATTCCTGCAGACTGCTGCTCCCTTATCCAATTCAGAACTATATGATCCTTGTATAAAAGGAACATGATATATAACTATAGAATTTGAGAAAAAAAGTCTTGATTAAGCACAATGAACAGTAAGAACACTGTTAAAGGGGTTGTGATTTTAAAAACAGTTACAGTTGGTCCTTAGAATAATCCTCTATTTTTTATGGATTTATAAAGTGTATATCCTCTTAGAGAAACAAACCCTAACCCTGTCATGAGTAATGCTGTAAAGGAAGAGGCTGTAGGCAATATTTATTTTCAGAATTAGCTTTGTGTAAATGAGTCTTGGATGAAATCTTTTACCACACTAAGATCAATGGCAAGATCTTTGTTGACGTCAGTAGGGTTAGGATTCTGTCTTCCATGTAAATTTCTACATATGGGTTTTTAGTACAGAAATGTCCAAGGTAGCCTACCACCATTTCAAGACGCACTTTTATGGTTCGGTGATGGTTTTTACCTGACTTATACAGAGAATTCTTTTCTCTCCAATCTACATACATTCATTTGCTTATCAGTATTTTCCTTTAGGATAAAAACATGCCCTGTTCACATTATCGCTCTAGAACCATTTGCTTTTAAATGCAAGACAGAAGCTCAAGGCATTCAGCTAAGCTGAAGTCAGCACAGTAGATGGGAAAGTTAAAGCCTTTCGAGGTTACACTGAAATATTTACCTGCCTCTTCTCCTCCCAGCTAAGCTTACTCTTGCTGAGCGTGTATGACAGTTTAGTTAGGGCTGCCTCTGGCGTCATATCACCTCCAGGAATTACGCCAACATCAGCGAGAGTCTGGATAAAAAGGAATAATGATTCCAATTAGCATAACATTCAGGAATACCTGCATGTACAGAAAATTTATATGAATGATGAGTAGCTACACAGAACACAATATGCAGCTGTGCTTCCACTCTCTTGCTCCTCTTACTGCCACTGTAATTTTAGTTATCAAATACTGAGCAAATACTAAAAACAGATGAATAAAAATGGGTTTAAATTCCTTTTCATGCAATAACACATAAGAATTCAACTAAACGCTTGCCATGGTCACTTACTATGCTAAAAGGGAAAGCTTACAGATCTGTATCAGCTATCTGCAGAGTTGTCAGATTCCCTTTATTGAAAAGCTGCAGTTACTCTGTTTTAACCCAGTGGCATTTTGAACATTGTCAAGTAGGCTGTTCTCACACAGACATATTTACCGTTCTTTTATGGGGCATTGCTTTGGATTAACTCCAGCACTACAGCATGCTCCCAGCAGGAATTTTTCAGATCCTTTCAGGCCGCACTAGCAGTGTACGATTTAAAACATACAATTAAAATACATAGTTTACACACTTTTTACAAGAACAACTGAAAAAGATGTCCCTTTTAACTTATCTTCCTGGTAGTAAAAACCCCAAACATATTTAAAACAAAGCAAAAAAGCAGAAGGATCTTTGCCATGGTCAGCAAGGCCCATATATGTTTCCTCATGGGAAAACACATAAAAGGAAGTTGAGAAATACTTTCTGTACTGCAGACCTAGCCAAAGACTGTTAGGGCTTTTTCAGTTTGAGAAAGAGGAGGAGGAAGGGATTTCCCAGCTTCCTTCCTATACCTAAATTCCCCTCAATTATAAGTGTCTACTGTGCAGATGGATCAGAGGCCAGATATTCAGTTAATTAAAACAAACACTTCAAGGGAAACCAGGGACTCAGCTGACCCACATGGCTAGCTTGAATGAGTAAAAAATAGCTTAGCCACATGCAAAGACCTGTGAAAGATTTTATTTAAAGAAAAATCAGAGTAAACTGAACGTTACAACAACTTCCCAGCACTGATCCATGGTACTTCCTCCACTGAGCAGTTCCTTATGAAAAGGAGAAAGCAATGAAAGAACAAGTGTGAAGTAATTTCATAGGACTTGGGATTGTCAGTGTTCTACTCAAAAGATGCCAAGAAAACAGGGCAGCCTCCACCAATGGATACTGAAGCAACATAAAACATGCTTCATACAAAAAGAAGAAGCCAGAAGTAAACCCATTTCCACATAGCCTTGAAGTAGTTCAGTAAGACCTGAGCAGAATCCTTCAATTCAGCCTAACAGTCTGGACCAGAGTGCAAAAAGCCATTTTAGAGGCGTCCAGTTGAAGAATCTTTTAACCAAAGCATAGAAAAGGTTTTTCTCTCCCTTCCATACATTTTAGAAGTTCATTTCAAGCAGAAGATCACATAAAAGCTAGGCTTCATTCTCATGTTGCTTTTTCAAATATAAGTTTGGTGTCTCTTATTGACCTAACTGCTTTATTCTTTCCCTGTGGTGTTCTATATAATCCATGTATTCCTATCCTATTTGCTACAGAGCATGGCATCTTTGCAAAAGTTAACTTCTCAAAACTCCTCCATTAAGTTATGCAAAAGTTTTACCAACACCCAAATAACTGCCCATATCAGAAAATACTGAGCTTGGATACTGAAGAGGTCGAAAGAAACTCTTACAGTCTCCTTTTCTTTCTCCTCAAAACAGACTATGTGTTCTTGAAGCAAATATAACCTAAAGCTGTATCAAAACCAATGTTAAAAGAGGAAGGTTTCAGCACCAGACTAGAGTATCTAGGTTTGCCTTACAGTCAATGAAGAGGCTGGCTCTAGCAGAGGCATGGTTGCTCCCAACAAAACCAGGTGTCTAGGGGGATGAGTCACCCCCCGGCAGTGCTTCTTGGCTATTTAATGGCTAGTTTTTTTTATAAAGGCCAGTTAAACCAGCTTCCTCCACACTACCACATGCAACACATACTCTTACATGGCTTTGAGCTCTTATTAGTGCCAGTGATGTCACATCTTAATACACAACTGAGAAACTCACTACAAAATACCCTGGATATTAACAGTATCTGCACAAAGCCTGCTTTAGGCTAGCCTGCATTGGCTAAACACAGCTGATTTCCATTCTGCAAGACAGAAACTTCCTTACATACTGCTCTCCATTCTGTCACTGGATTCAGTTGTACTTCAGTCTAATAAAAAATTTGGAATATTGCTTGTATTTGCAGACTTTCTTGATGATCCTACATTGTAGCTAAGTAACTGCGAGCCTACCAAATATTTATTTGATCATCTGACCCCTAAGCTAGCTTCTAGCTCAGTGGAATCCCTCTGGGGTAGACACTACCTATCTAATGCAAGGTATCCTGGAGTGCTGCATGCAACAAGCGCAAGCAATCACTAATTTGGGATTTGAGCTGACCGTTTTGACCATTGGGGTCAGGAACAACAGGATCTTGTTTGCAGATACGTATTTAAACACTTCAACTTTAAAATTTTTGAGATATAGTTATTTTATGAGCAATATCTCTACAGGTAATGAATTTGGTTTTATATACTGGAACTATCAGAAGTATATAATCAAGTCGTACCAGTGGGATGGTTCTTTTACGCAGCAATAGAGTCTGAAATTATTGCACAATCCTTACCTGCCCTGTTGCATAGACTGTTTTGACAGACCCTCGTAAGCACTGGGTACAGTTTAGAATCACTACTTTCCGTTCAGCGGCTTTCTTCAGTTCTTCCAGCAAGTCTTCTCTATTGTTTGGGGCATTGCCACTACCATAAGCTTCAAGTACAATTCCCTCAATTGGAGGCTGAAGAAACGCTTTTACCTGTTTAAAAATAAAACAGGGAAGAGAGACAAAAGGTGTGTTTAAGTCACATTAAGATTTTCATGTATGGCAATAGCATTTTTAAAAATGGTCTATTCCTATTATACTCTTACAGGCTCTCATGCATTACAGTCTTCTCATGCCTTTCTGTGCTCCCCATTTGCAGTAACTGGGACTGCAGAATAAGCTTTAAAAAAATGTGAATTTCACTCTATAGCATCCTTTAAAATTCCTAGAGGTATATATTTTAAAATCAACTATTTTCTGCAGTCATGACCTTGGTGTGAAAAAGGATGCTACTGTTCAAGTGCCTTTAGCAGGCTATACTGTTGCACCATGGTGGAGCAAAAGATTTACCCTTAGAAAATAAATGTAGAATTATTAATTGAGATTAGAACCCCTAACCCTGCACAGATTTGTTACTTCAGCAAAGAGTTTTGTTAACAAATGTCCGCCTAAGAGAGAGAGTGTCTCACCTTTCAGGAAAGAATGTTCTAATGAAGCCTGGAGTTTTTTAACTCAAAACCTAATTGTTTTAATTCAAGGTAGATTAAAAAATAAAGAGGCTCTAATACACTCTGGGTCAGTTGTTACTCAGGTAGCTGTTGTGCCTAACTGTAAGAGAGTGCCTAGCAAAGTCTTCTTCCCAGAAAGACATATTTTAAACAACCTAAATGTTTCCTTGCTGATCACATATGCTAAATGCAATACACTGTAAGCCCCTATGAGGCTAACTATGCAGTTGGAGTTTTATTGCAAATATACCATTCCTCTGCCTTTCCATCTGTTCATATTGACCTAAAAATGAAGGCAATATAATTGAGGAGTGCTGCTTAAACTACTGGATTCAATTTAAGATGGCAACAGCCACAAAAGACCTGTCAATTTAACAGAGATAGTATTAGACAAAAATTTAAAGACAAATCTACCTAAACCTACAGTTCTGCAAAATAATTTCTAAAGGCAAAAAAAGTCCTACCTCTCATTTTCAGCAGCAAAATCCCATTTCTCATTTTCAGCTCTATAGGAATGCTGAGGGTCATGTTAACCATCAGTGTGAAACAAAATGAACCTTAAAAACCAAGCATGAATTGTAGAAATAATTACTCTCTTCCACCCACCATTTTGTGTATTCTTTGACAAGCTATCTACTAATACGCCTCAATATGCAGCAGTAGAGCATTTCACATGGTCACAAAAAACAATGAAGCTTTTATCAATAGCTTATGGCATATGAAAATAGTCTTTAAATTCTCTGATGTTCAAAACAATGTTTATCAGAAGAAGACAGATCCTTTCCTTTCCCTCCAAAACCCCAACCACTGCTATAAACAATCCAGCTTCCCTACTTCAGCTAACAAATCAAGTATTGAGCATCCCTTCACCTGCTTCCAAAATGAAGTGGTGACACTTACAACAGCAGCAGTGATTCCTGGGAAGATTCGCAGAAGCCCAACATTCCTGTTCATATTGGTGTGAACTCGAAATTTCTTTTTGGTATTGGCTCTCCACACTGTTTCCCAATTTACTGTTAAGAGAAATAGCCTTTTAAATTTAAGACACAACATTAAGTACACTTGTAGCACTTCATACTTACAACATTGTCTTTAAAACTGTTTCTTATGTAGGGGATTCATGGAAGGCAATGTATTTTTGAAAAGAAGAAATGAAGACTCATTTAAGCCAGCAGCCATAGCAGCTGATCTAACACACCTTATTTATTAGGTGCCACAAAATGTCTTCAAGGGCACTCCCAGGGCAGGCTCAACTGTGTTAAATTTTAGCTTTAATTCCAAAATAGTCTAGATTCTGAAGTAAATCAGTATTACTTATAAACATTTCTTAGTCGTTGCCCTTCAAGGAGATATTTAACATACATGCTACTTCAATTTAATAGCATTTTATCAAAGGCTTCCAAAATGAATAGTTTAGTTCAGTGATTATTAGTGAAACGGACTATTTATCAGACACAAAGCTGCATAGCTCTACTACAACCTCTTCAAAAGAGAAGTCTGATAGCTGTGAAAAGGATCAGAGTCTTAGACCTGATGGGACCATGATGTTGAACATGTCCTGTCAGTGCCAGCTCTCCCAGTTTTGAGTGAGAAAGCCACAACCAAGAGAGCGCTGTGCAGATCTAGCACAGGTGAGATACTTACTTGTCACACACTGACCTGAACTTCTTTGTTATGTAGTTGGCATGATACCAACCTGGATTCATGTTTAGAAAACAGACCTTCATCTTCCCAGACATAAGAGATGACAAATTCAGTTACTGTTGCCGTTAATCACCTCCAGAGTTTATTAGGTAGTTACTAACGATTAAATAAAATAGCAAGGATTCAATTAACTCAGATTATACATTTAGAGCCAGGAGCCAGCTGTTTAACTAATAGTCTGTTTGTGTTGCATTATTAGAAACCAAGTCATGCATTATTGATTTCAAAATTTTACTACTTCAGTGGAGGAACATAGCAATCGTTGGGCTGACAGCTCCTACAAGGCAGTGGAAGAGGTTTAACAAACAGCGGCCAACAGATAGCTCAGAGCGCCATGCTTCAATGAAAGTAAACCATAGCATAAAGCTACCTGTTTCATGATTTAAGCTGTTTAAATTTTGGAGAAACTTCCAAGCAGCAAGACAGATAAAAGATCTGCATGCGTAATACTGACTTGCTCTCAGCCATGTGGAGAGTTACTCACACCAATTACTGTTTCAATCTCTTGCAATCAGCAGACAGCCACTTGCAAAAAAAATCAGAGTAAAAGTCTCCATTGAAGCCTGCTCTATTGCCCCGTTACTAAAGATACTAAAAACTACACATTCCATTAAGTCAGGACAGAAATATATCAATCACTTATAAGACTAGAGCCACTGTATGTTCTTTCTAAAGATACCATACATCATTAAACAGGTCATAAGCAGTTGGCATGGCAACATGTTTGTCCTACAAGCAAGCCACACTTCAGCACATGGATTTCTAATGCCCTGAGAATGGGAGAACAGAACTATAGACAATTTCTAGTTTCCTTCTTTGTGCTAAGCTGGCTACCACTGTTCTGAAACCACCTGGCTGGATTTAGTAGCTAGCCAAGGAGCTCTCAGAGGTCTCCATGAGCTTTCCAGAGTGAGTTAGAGGCATGCAGGATGTACATGGGTTAGTGCAGAAAGCTGTGCATTTGTTCTGCTTGAGGTTCATAGGCCTGGCTAACCACACTGGTTCATGAGCACTGTGCTTTAAGAGTAGCAGTGTTTAGCAATAAATCCAATCCTTTCAACCTTCTAACAGTCAGATTAATTCTTTAAAAGCAGGCTCCTCTATAAGAAGGTATGGCAATAAAATTGTATTAGAGGTTTCTGTCCTTTATCCTCCATGAGCTAGGAGTCCCTGCCAAAACTTCACAATAGCATACTACTAAGTTTGGCAACTATTAGCATCCCTAATGCCTGTAACGAACTTGAAGAATGAACTGAGGGAACCTGCCTTGGCATGGATCACTAAGATACTGCCAGAAGTAGAACACCAAGGAGGGAGATCAGAGGATAGGTTCAGAAGACAGACCTATACCAGGCCTATACCTGTACTCTTGAAGTACGCTCTACCAAAACCCTTATCTTCTTTAAGATAAATGTAATGCATGCAGACATAGTACAGTGATGTAATTCCAAGTTATATTAAAAAAACACACTAAAGATTGCCCCGAAGTTAACATTCTCTTGGTCATGAACCCCATCAGCCTATGTAACATGCTTGGTATTGCAGACTCCACAAATGTCAGCTTTCCATTAGACAAATGAGGCTAAAAGGCAGAACAAAAGGCAAGTACAATGCAAAAGTCAAAGACAAACAAATATACATAAAAGCCCAACTTCATCTCATATTTATTCAGAACTGTTGTGAAACAGAGCACCATGCAGGGAAAAAAAATTCAGACCACACTCTGCAACCTCCATCACAAAGACTACATCCATAAAAAGAAAGAATATTTATGTCGCATAGCAAAGTTCAAGTATCTCTATTGTACTGAATAAACCAGCTATCTTGCAGCCTATAGTCCACAGCAATCTTCTTTTGTTAAATAAATTAAAAAAAAAAAAAGGAAAAAGAAAAAATCTTAGAAATCACTAACAGATCTTAAATAAGAAACTCAGATACAAGCAGGTGAAGTGCAAAAAAACATATGTATTGGTGTTCATAACAGCTTTTTATCCTATGGATAAGAGAATAATTAGGGCTATTTAGTTTTGGCACAACACAGAAAACAGTAACCTGTCGTGACTTCGATGGTCTGTGCTTGTAAAGAGTTTAACTGATATAGTGTACAGCATTATGTAAATATGGATACAAACCTGAAGAAACGTAAGCTAGCTACTAGTGTCGCACAGCAGAAAAGAAGTTTATAACGCAATGTACATATATAAAGAGGTAATGGCTATTTATGTACTGTATCCAAAATGGCTTGTGATAGAAAAGATTTCATTATTCAAGGAGACTGCATTCAAGATATTAAGGCTTTTTTGTTTTTTCTTCCAAACAAAACCATCACATAAACAATACTCCACTGTTTCCAATCTCCCCTTCTGTACCAAACACTACAGCTTTTAAAATTACAGCTCAAAAAGCTACATCCTTATCTTCTTCAGCTTTATTCTCTCTCTTTCACACACACACGCACACGCGCACACACCCCCACCACTACGGTGATACAGTTAGTGAAGAAAAAAACATCAACCTGACTTAAAAATAAAAGAGAAAAGCAGCTCTATACAGTCTAGAAAGCAGCAACACACACCACCTCCCACCACCCCCGCTGTTAAACAGCACCTATGCCACAACGCAGATTTCAACTTATAATGGGAGAGCAGCAACTAAGAGCGACACCTCCCTTAGGAGTGGTGACTGAACTCCAAGTTATGAAATCAAACAAGAAATACAGCTTTTTGTGATTGCAGAGTTCCAGACAAACAGCAACGCTTTCTTCTCATCCTTCTCTGCAGGGCTACGGGTGAGCCCTACCATTATATAAGCTGCCCTGGCGCTCATTATGATTCATGGCAACAGCCAAGGGGTGGGGAGCGCAGGCCAACCTATGAGTGCAAATTCCTGAAGGAGGCAAAATAACACAGACCCCCTTTTTTGGCAGTTTGTTGTAAAACAATCGACACACATCTTCTGAAATTAATACTGAAATTGAATGGCAGTGTTGCAAGAATCAACATGCCTACTTGCAAGGGAGAGGGGGGACCAAAAGCACTTCACTGAAGAGAGCTGGCACTTGCCTTAATATATAAATGACCTGGGCTTCTTACTATAAATAACTAAAACTGCCAAACAGGACACAGACTTGGCCAGTGACGAGTAGCTTCTTTCTAATGGGACTGGTGGGTAGACAAGCCCAAAAGGGCCTTCTAACCTTCTGCTGATGCTGTACCACATTTACATGCACAGTCATATAGGCTCTGCTCATCCCCTGCACAAGCTATGTTTCTCATCACACAGTCCTGTACATGTGCACCACTCCCAGAAGTTACATGAATGTGTGATGAAGAAAGCAAGTTTCATATATGCTTCATTAGGACAATCAAGAATAGAGAAGAGTAACCAGTTATGAAATATAATGAGAATCTTTGCACATTTCAATTCAAGTAGTCCTCCTTGTTTCTCCTATTTTCACAATATGGGAGAAATAAGGCAAGGTCTCTTCAGTTTAAGATTTTTGAAACATTTATTGTTATTCCTATATTATCAATTTCATACAAAGATTGTTGATTCTCCTGCAAAAGTATTTCCCATCGGCATTAGGTTTCTTATTCATCTCAGGAGTGAGCTAGAATTTTTCATTTCTTCCAGGCTTTTCTTGTGCTAAATTGAAAGTCTTAAAGAAGCTGACACACTTGCTCATCTAAAACTGGATAATGGGACTCTTAGGTGTCTTAGGATCTGGCCGAGAACACAGCTGATTGATAGGATCAAAAATCTACTGGGAGGTAACAGAGTGAAGTATGGAAACCAAAAATGAAAAAAGAGCAGCAGCTAGAGTAGAAAAAGGAACTAAGCTTCTCCCTCTCCTCTTTGGCACTGAAGTAGATCATTGCTTTTATACAGTATGCCTAGCCTCAAAGAGCATGTCTTCTCCTTATTCCTGTATACCAAACCATGATCCCATTACATTCCATCCTGTCACCTCTCCCCCTCTGCTTCTCTGTAATTTTCATTCCCAGCTTTGTTAGAACCAGGAAGCCTGAGGAAGAGTTTCTGCACATGGGCTACTCCTCCTGGCATCCTCAGGCTGCTTTCCACAATGCTGAAGCAGCAAGAGTCAGCCCTGTCTACAGAAGGATTAAGGCATATTATTCAAAGCCATTTGGGAAAAAAAGAACAAAAAAAGGTTAAAAGATACTAGATCTGTTTGGTTTGTTTTGAAAAGCCCAAGTGGTTCCTTGTCTCTGTGAAAGCCTCATATGAGGACTGAACAAGCAAACTCAAGGGAGACAGCTATGTTTCAAACAATTACTCTGGACAAAATAAAGCAGCACTAGTAGTTAGCCCGTACTATAAATTGTGTTTTTTTCAAAATGAAACAATCCTTCAATACTGACACCATCATCTTGGATAAATGATGCTACTCTAACTGGGTAATCAACTGAAACAAGTAAAAATAGAGCCTATCACACCAGCAGTTTTAAAATCAGAAATCCCCACTGATCTCAATGAGGCATTCTGCTGAAAATATAATGGGACCCAATACAGGCCAAGGGAAGTACTTAATAACTTTCTCGTTTTTCTAATATAAGCAAGGAATCACAGAACAGTTCATTTAAATCCAAGACAGAAATAGCATACAATTTACAGCTTGATTTCATTACTGATCAGTCAGTAAATGGAATTTATTTATACCTTATTTGATGCAGTTCATAAAAACCCAAGAAATAAGATTCTCCCCAGTTTACTGCAGCAGTCAACTGAAAGTATTCCTCTTGATTTCAAATACATCAAATTGGACACAGCACAGTAATACAACAGTGGCAGACTCTCTGAGAGATGTCTTATGGACCACTACAGTATTTCACAGGCTTCCTCAGTTTGTATCTGGCTGCTACAAACACAGCACTTGGGTCCTGAAACTTTAAATAACTCCCACTCATTAGGTGGAAGGGATAAGCTTATTTTTCCAAATTGCAGAATGTCTCTCTTTAGTAGTAGAAACCATTCAGAATGGAATGCTGCATGGCAGAGGGCTACATCTCCTACTGCCACTAATAGCACCCAGCAAAAGAATTTGGGAACCCCCTTGTATTCCTATTTTTTGTGATAATGGAGACTGTCACCAAGTGCTACTCCTTTTTAATATACCTACCCTACCCAAAACCAGCTTGCAAAACGTAATGGATTTAAAATTGTCCTTTAGTACGCTTTCTGGCAACTCCTCATTTGGCTAGATTCCAAATGTGTCTCTCCTCTCTTCATATAAAGGGTGTAATTTATTCAAGAACAGACACCAAGTGTGATAATGACTTTGCAAATGGATATTGAAATCTTCATGCAGTTTTTCCCCTCCTAAAAAAACAGAAACATAGGAATTATAGGGAGCCTGAGTAACTTTGGGGGAAGAAAACCTTCACCCAGTGCATATTCCGGGTCTGGTGTTTTCAGTGCGCTTGCAGTTTAGACAGTTCCTACATATCCAGTAAAACATCTTACACAGTGACATGAATCAAACAAAGCTGCATGTACTCTGCAATCGTTTGACTGATTTTCAAGCCCAGCATGGTCATTAACAAGATTAAATTCTTTGTTCTTTCAGTCCTCACTCCTTCATTTTTATCTTCAGAGCAAGCATTTTCATGACACAGGGGCAACACTCCCTCTGGTTAGTCTGGATCTTTAGTGAAACTCAGTCTGGCTAGCTCACATCTACATTCAATAGATAAATGCCGTTGAGTCATAAATTGTGTCTTACTAATATTTAAACAGTTTCAGAACAGGTAAAGCTACAAGGCTTTCAAAGATTTTGAGTTTAAAATAGTATTTCAGCTACATAGACACATTCTTCTCAGCTAGAGTTCTGTTGCATGTGGCGTACATTACAAGACTTAAGATGTTGCTTACTTGTAATATCAACCTCAGCATTTGCAAGTGGAGGCAGGTTAGGTGAGGAAAAGGCATTGAAACTCGCAGCATCCACCTTAGTCACCCTATTTCCCCTGTACAGTTTATTATAAAAATACAGGCACACCTGCAAGACAAGTAAAGAAACAGGTCTATGAATAAGCCAGTAATTAAAAGATTCTGTAGATAAATACTGTAGCTCGTCCTTTATAAAGTGTTTTCTAAATCTTTAAAGTAACTCAGAGGCTAGTAGATGTTTACAACTTTTACCCTTTCAAAAAGAGTTGGCACATCTGTCACACATTGGTTTAAGAATTTAAGAACAAAACAAGTTAAGAGCTAACTAGTTTCGTAATCCTCTCATGAGGCATAGTCTAGGAGACAGCAAGTGTGCCTGAGTCCACTTCAGAGACAGAAGAAAGAAACAGTGTGGACTTTTCAATAAGTTAATCAGTTATATCTAAATTCAGAGTGCAAAACCTTAACAAAGGCCTGGTGAAAATGAGGATAACTTTCAAGAGAGTTACTACACATAAACAGATTCCTTCTCAAGATCCTTAATGTCTGTCAATTGAAATTTGAAGGAAAAGAGATGCTTCAAAGTTATTAGTAATGAAGATCTTGGCCAACCAGCTATTGCTATTGCCTTATAAGAACTGGCTTTGAGAGCATGGCAAAAATGAAATGAGGTATAACCTGACTAGTTTTCTGTCTGATTTTGGACTGTGCAGCACCAACCTCTTTAAAGCCAGGGTGCTGAGACCATGAAGGTACTTCCACATACAGTAGATATATGGTCCTCTACACTTCAGGAACTAGAACTAAAAGACACTTCTATCAGTTCTAGGGCAACTTTAGAACTTCAAAATAACTTTCAGTTTAAAAACTGACAAGTGCTTCAGATCCCACATATTTGAAAGGGAACCCCTGATTTCAAGTCTGCTGCAAGCTACATTTCAGACCTGACAGTCTTCATAGACTGCATATGGGCAAAATGGGATATAACTTTTGAGAAAACAGCATGTGCTTTGCCATGGAAATGCCTGTAACCTCAGAAGAATCCATTTATCTTTCTGTTTAACTGCAATTCCTTACTGTCTACCGGATATTTTGAGTATGTAAGTATGTGTCTTGGCTAGAGGAAGAAAAGCAGCTTCTGAGACTGTCGTCACAGGCAAACAGACCTCAGGAATCACAAACTGCCCAGCGAACAGCAGTGCGCCCAGAAGGTTGGCTCGGCCGTCATTCTGCAGCTCGTATATGGGCACCTGAGGAGCAGAGACAGAAATTACACCCTGTCCCTTATGTAAAGCCTACACAGCAGAAAAAAGAGTCCAACTTATGCAATATAAATACATGAATAATTTATGTAACAATGATTTATGACAAAGTTTCCTTCTTAATCCAAACTATTTTAGACTGCAGCAGATGGTAGGATTTCCCTCTGTGCTTAACAGACTTTTATAATTTAAGTGCTTGAAAGCTAATATAGACATGATTCTAGTGCGATTAAGCAGATTAAAAGACTGATTCAGGGAATATATAAAAAATAGAAAGCAGGCATAGTTAAGGTGACTGAGTATGGGAGAAATGATTGTACCGAGAAAAAGCAACAGCGCCGGATCATACAGAACTGCCACTACAGGCTCCACAACAGCTCTTTTGCACCATCTTTCCACAGAGTATTGAAAAACTGAGCCAGCAGGTTATTACTGACAGAAAAGGACAAGATTAAAACCAGAAATTGGGTCCGATGAGTGGCGACTTCCACGTCTTTTCAGATTGTCTCTTTATTAACAGAGAGTCAGAGCTCCTTTCAGCAATGAAAAAAATCACATGTTCCATTGCTAGATCATGTCAGGCAGATCTCCAAACAATAAAGCCAAAAAGAAAGTAAAACCTTGAATATGATGTAACACAACTAGACTGTCCCATCTCAATACAGTAAGTGGGAGCCTACTCCTTCCCAGACTTTTGTATTTTGACTTCAAATAGACCACATATGAAAGGGAAGTTATGAGATGGGGAGGGGAATTTTACAGTGCGATGTTTCATCTCTCCTTTGTGATTAGAGCTGTATTTTACACTCAAGCAAGCTATACTAGTAAGTCAACCCCTCCCCCTCAGACAATATGCAAAGAGCTGATCTCCAGCTAAGAGAATGAAAATTAATAAATACGGTCTTTAGAGGAAAGGAAACAGACCATGTTCGATGGAACAGAAATGATCAAAAATGCATCTAATGGTTAGGGATTATTAAGAAAATCATAAAGAATGCAACAAGATAACAACTGATGAAGTAAGAAGTAATAAACCTCAGGGTTTTAAAAGAAAAAAAGACAGCTAACAACCAGCAGCCACCTGAGGCTGGAAAAATGCTTCTCATATAAACCGATTAATACACAATGGCCAATGACAGCCTCTTATATCTTTCTCTGAAGCATCTGGCCCCACACATAATGAACTACTGGTCTGATTTGGTACAGAGTTGTAAAGTCATTAATGATAAAATTATGGGGTAGATCCTCAGCTGGTGAGCCTGTCAATTCTCACTAATTTCTATCAGCACTGCGACCATTCACCGTGGCCAGAGGCCTGCCCTGCACTACTAAACTGTACAGTGACAGTCAGGATACTGCCTAGTTTTGCATACAAAAACCAAAAATGAGGCTTCTGACTTCACCTTCAAATGAAGCCCATTACCTGAGATCCTGTCAGAACAACAGTTTTACCCAGATTCTCACACATGAAGGATAAGGCTGAAGCTGTATAGGCCATGGTATCAGTGCCGTGAAGGATCACAAAACCATCATACTTTTCGTAGTGCTCCTGGAGATTGAGAAGTTTTCACATGGTTAGAGCAATGCTCTGGCATCAGCACGTGAAGTACATACTGCATTACTTCCACTGATACAAGCAACAGCATAATACTTTAAAGGGTGCTACACACATAATTCCTCCTAAAGTTATCCTGTTTCCAGTTTAAATGCAATTAAGGGTTAATAGGACACTAAGCACTACAGCCAGCAATTCTAATTATGGAACAGTCAAAGGGGTTCTTCTATGTATACATATTAATGCAGCATTTTAAAACCAGAAGATTGCTAATTAAGAAAAGCTTAGCAATGGCTTTAAACAGGAATGTTAACATATGCAAATTAGTCATATAGTCTGATTCTTTGTTGCCGATTTTACTTTAGAGATTACACCATTCACAGGAACAGATTAGGCAAACCACGGCTATCACAGCATATAGAAAAAAATCCATTTAATCCGGATGGCACAGGCAAATAGCCAGTGTAACAGTGCCCTCTTCTGTTAAGAAGTCATCCTTTCTGCAGCAGCGTATGACTTCAGCAAAAAGAGATAAAGGGTCTTCTTCTTGTTTGTTAATGTACATACACTTGCTGGTTTTTGAGAAACCTTAGACTATCAGGCATGTACAGATGCACAAAGTAATTTTCTAACAACTTTAATCTACATACAGTTGCACATAGGAGGTTTTTTTTTTAATGCTAAGACAAATCACACAGCTCATCCTGTTAGAATAAAGTCATCTGCTGGCTTTTGGAGGAAAAAGGAATTGGTTTCTCAATTTCGAGCTGATGTTTACCACGAGTGATGCACGTGGTAAACACTGTAGTGAGAGACACTGATGTCTCTGATGTAATTTGGTAACATGGAAAGGATTACACAGAAGTTTAAGCAGATCTATGAAATGCCAGTGTGAGGCAAAAATGGGTGTGACACAGAATTAAACATGATTTCTTTTTAATTACACTTCTTATGCTATAGTAGGCACACAGGCATCTCCTGAATCTCAGGCATCTCCTGATAATAAGGTCATCTCCAAACTCACCTGCAGATTTCTACTCATCCTTTTGCTATTTCTTCACTATTACTCATGCCCACATGTTGTTACCTACTGGAATTTTCAGGGGATTTCTGCTTATCTCTAACAAGTTAGCCAGCTGAACAACAGCCAATGTTGCAAGATCTTTCCGTAGTGCAAACTACAGAATGATGCAAAAGCATGCTATAGTTATTCGACAACGCAGTAACAAGGTAAGTTTCAACAAGGCCTAAGATCACAGAAATAGCAACTTGTCCTCTTTAACTCAACCAGTATGCTCACAAATATTTTCAGCCTTATGAACCTTATTAGACGTGAAAGAACATAGCCTGGTTTAAGCTTCATAATATAAAAGATTAGGCTGGCTATTAAGGAGATATACTATAGAAACACCTCAGAATGTCAGTCACACAGTGAAAAGCACAAGGCTTTGCTAGGTATGTGTCTAAGATGAGCATGAAGTAGAAGTGTCTATATAAGGTGGACAGTTGAAGAAGTTTGGGGTTTTTTTTCTTTTCTCAGCACGTTTCACTTGGATGACGCAAACTGGGTAATCGCTATATACAGAGAAGCTGCATTCCATGTACAAGAAAGGAACACTTTTTCCGTAATAAAACTAATATGTCATTAAGGAATAAAGGTAAATTTTCTCCTGTTCAGCATGGGATTGACACCTCCTACTCTTGGCCCTGAGCTTTTCCTAGCTGCACCCCTGCTCTATCCTAGAGGCTTTCCATCTGTACGCCAGCTCTGTCTCTTCCTGGCCTGGCAAGATGAATTCAATAGGAGCATCATCCCTAGTGTGGTGGTTCCAGGACTAGAGGACCTAAGGGTGAAGGACTCTTTCCTGCATCTTCAGCATCATTCCCTGTGTTATTACACTGTTTGCATGCATTGCTATGGCTTGGTTAAAGACGGAAATTTACACTAAAAAGCCCACTATCACAGAGTGAGAAGGAATGGAAGAGCAGTATCTTAGGCCCATGGTTATTTATTTCTAACAGCTACACATGAATTCCTGGTGTGAAGTATTTTAAATGTTTCACATTTCTACTTTTTTAAAAGCACATAGCTAAATTCAGACACAGGGACAGAAATGCTGTGGTTTTGATGCTCGAGAAGCATGTACTGAATTTATCTATACATGCAGAAATATCTAGGGCTTTAAACATTTCCCAGTGTGGGAAACCTAACCACGATAGCATTTTTCCTACTGGCTGCAAAGCCAAAGCTAGTCAAGTCCATCTGTGTCCAGTATAAGAAAGGCATAAAGACATGAAATTATTTCCTACATCAATAGCCAACTAGTAAGCTATTGGAATACTGAAATGATGAGTAACTAAACCACCTTCAGTTAACTCACCTGTAGCTAAAGATTTTTTCAATGTTTTTGGAAAGTGAATTTAAGTCAACTTTTTAGAATGTATCAACCTACATACTACATATCTCATTCAATCATAGCTGCAATTTTCCTATTTTCTTGTACAGAACTATGGCCTGGCTTATTGTGCCATAATTCTGTACTATATAACTGTATTCATGAACTATGTAACTTTAGTGACTTTGCCACATTTTCAGAAGAAGAAAATTTGGAAGGCCTTGTAAGCACAGTACTTGTTATTTTGCAAGTAACTAAGCAAGGCACGTAACATTTGCATTTTAAATAAACAAATATATATCATATGTATAGCACTAGTGAGTTGTTTTATCTTGCTAAGTGTACTTGATAAACTGATGGTTCTGTTTAAGCAATAAATGAATTATTATCCCTCACCACAGTACCTCAAGTTTCCTTGCAATTTTGGCCCAGTCCTCTGGAGTCATGTTGGAAGAATCAAGCAGCGGTGAGAGCTCCAGGATTGTGTAAAAAATCCTTTTGTTTTGCTTAGAGACACTACAAAGGAAGAGAATTAGACAAAAAAAGAAAGTAATTATTAGAGCTAATATCAGTTCATTGCTTCTCTTTTTTTTTTTTGAATCGGTAGTTTTGACTCTTTTCTTCTCCATCCCCCAAGTCTATGGCAAAAAAATGGTCTTAAATTTGGAACATTAAGTTCCAAACTTATAAATTCATAACTTGATGTGGTTTAAAGCACAAAACCTTACATTTAATTTAATAATAAATATAATCTCAGAGGTGGAGAGGGGCTGGCAAAACTAAAAACAGAAAAGAAGAACCCAGACTTACTTGTTTTAAGCTCGGAACTGATTTCTAACAAAAGCTGATACAAAGGCCTAAGGTTTAAAAATGCTTCATAAGCTACTGAGAGGAATTTATAAAGCTCCCAAGGTTTATAGGGGGTCAACAGGAGAGTTGCAACAACTTTCTGATCCTTTGATAAATATAAATAGGTAACCTTCCATGACACAAAGGGTATCTTCTCTTAAGAGTGTTATGACTGGAATTCATTATTGTGGCCTTTAGAAGATCCACTCGTCAGTTTCTTTGGCCTCAGATTTCAGAAAAAGTTCTCTTGGCTAGTTAAGATCTTCAAGTAGACTGTTGCCTTGGCTAGTAATAGGCTAACTCTGTAAAACCCCAGTCCCAGCCTATTAGGCCTGTTGTCACCGTGGTATTAAAGTTTGCTATATGGTACTATCTATCTCTTGTTATGAGGAGGAGTTTAAGCATGTGATAACAGCAAAGGTATTAAAATACTGGCATAGGTGTAAAACAAAAGCCTCGGGAATATAAACAACTCACTGGCTACCAATTATTGGCCACAAGTGCAACCTTGACAGCTGGGAAAATACTGCTCTAAGTAGAATAAAAACAAGACAAAGGAACTATGCAAGGGAAAACAAGGGAAAACAAAACAAAACAAAAACAAAAGAAAACAAAACAAAAACAAATAGTCAAGCAACAGGATAAAGTACCTGTGGGGCTGAGGAATGTAACACTTTCAAACCTCATGCAGTGTGTTGCCCAGCAGGTGGAGACCAAAGATTAAGAGTGTCTAGACACCCAACTTTAAAAGTACATGATCCCCCTTGGAGGAGACATATCAAAGGTGATGATGGCTATGGAATCACAGTGGGATTGTCACAGGTTTAAGCAAACTGTCTGCTCTTCCTGCTCCCAGGGACCATGGGTCTCCCTTTCTCCACCTGGCTATCACAAGAAATCTTACTCTTCAAAGACCTTTGATTTGCCAGCCAAATGGACTGCATACAAAGCATGTGTTTTATACCCCACAGAACATGTTCAATTCTCCACATTTACTTTATAACCTCTCAGAATAAAGTCAACTACATAGAAGTCAACTTGGCAGTTAAGATTTGGCATAATAAAAAAACCCTACTATTTTCTGCTACCTTTCTGAAACTTGGATAAAATATCAACCATTTTCACCCATTCTTACATTACTTGGAATGTGTTCTTAACTAGCAATGCAGTGGCCAATGAACAGCTAACAAAGAACTGCTAGCAGGCCAGCTCTGTCCCTCCTACTCACTCTCCCAGGCAGAGCCATCGGGAGCATGGTTAACAGGATCACCTTCACAGCATTCTTAATGCTTTTCCACTGCCTGAATGATGGAAAGTTCCCTGCCAGCTGTAACTGTGATAGATACTTCAACATTTATATTGGAAGACAGTCAAAGGCTTCAGAAAAGATCAGAAAATTGCATGGATGTGTAAAAGAAATCAGGTGATTAGCGCACAGAAAAGTTGATTACCTTCCCTAGGCATTCTCAATAGTGTTTTGTCCCCACTTGTGATTATGTATATATTTATAGCTACATAAAATATGCAAAACCAAGAGTCAATTATCAGTTCATCAGCTAATAAAATCTGCAGACCCACTCCATTTATGAGGCCTGCAAGAGGGTTGTGTACAGCATAGAGAGCATTTAAACAATGTGTAGGGTTTTTTTCATACCAGCTGACATACTGTACCTAAGAAGTTAGACTTCATATGAAAAATTGCCTTGCTGGACATCATATTCACACATGCTAAGAGTAACTTTGGAAGTCAGTTGAAAATCTGTGAAAAGAAAGCTCCCCTGAGGATGTGATGTTTAAATAAAACACAAGATACTGACACCACAGACCAACGCAGTCTACGACTGTCTAAAAAGACATCATACTGTTCCTCTTAGATTGAGGTCATCGCACAAATATACAAAGATCACAAAATACTCCTATTTTCTTCCCTCAGAAACTCACAATATTTCTCAGTCTCCTAGTTAAAATATCATTGGGCTAGCACAAAAGAGAAAATGGCATATTGCCATGACCAACCTCCAGAAACAGCACTCAGCAGTGCCAAAAAAACAAGACAAGATTGGGTTTTAAACCTCAGGTTTTGATGGAAATGATTGTTTTAAGCTTTTTTGCCCTTTATGGAAAAGAAGTTTCAGGACAACTGTATTTAGGATTCAAATAGGTATATTACTGTAGTTTTGTTATATTTCAAATCTCTTAAAGTATTTGAAAGTTATTCAGTTACAAACACAGTATTGTAAGAGATCCATTTTTCTTAGATTTATCATCATATTTAACACAAACTGCACGTTCATGTCAATACTACTCCACCAGCAAGCAGTTAATTTCTTTTCCCTTTATCCTTTTTCTTGCCATCTGCCTTTTAAGTGGCTACTTTTAAAAGCTTTACACAGAGACCTCAATACAAAATAGAAAGAAATTAATAAACCTTAGGATTTCTTTGTGTGTCCTGATTTTCTCCTTAAAGATGAAAGAATATCCATGTTTACTTTTATAGCAAAACAGCTATAGATCCATTACTTTTTGAATGACTGTGTAAAATCATCCTTTGTGCAAAGTTAACATGTTTACAGGGGTACAGTCATTCAGCACAGCCGAGGAATATCTCAAATTAGCATACTGCCCTCTAAAGAAAACTTACAAGCTTATTAATCATTGTCCAACAGTTAAGAAGCGATGCAGATTAATCGTAAGCCCATCACTTATTACCATAATGTTGCATAATTTTGTGAAAGACAATCAGGTTTTAGATTTTTTTAAAAACCAGAAGGCCTGCAGAATTAAAGCATGAGGCCTATTCACAGACGCATTAACTAGATGCTACTTTTTCAGTCATATGCTGAAGGTAATTTACACAGAGCTGTATACACCGCTTTCTTAGTTTCTACAGAATGTTTGTATGTTTGCACAGTAGCAAATTAATATCCAATACAAGAAAAAAAATGCAGGACTAAGCTACCAAAATGGTTACTTGTTGCCTAATTTAGAAGTTCTCAAACAGTTGTAAGACACTTCATTTCAAATATACCAAAACAGGCACAATAGGCTTTTTCCTTTTAAGTCAATATAAGCATTTTTGCTAATCTCATAATGGATTCCTTACATTTAAAGTTTGGTGATGTAATTACCTGAAGATTAACAAGATACTTCCTAACCCTTCCACTGCCCCAGGAAAACATACTTACGGGAGCACCAGTGTGTTTTCTGGAAATTCATGGAAGCTGTTCAGTTTTGTTTCCTGGGCATATGCCTCATCATGCAGCATTGGCATTGTTTTCAAACTGCTTACTAATTTATTTGCCTCGGGAGCAAGCCCTTGAAAATAAAGAATAAAGGAAGTAAATAATGGCACACGGATGGAAGGAAACAAGTGGCACAGTAAGGAGGGAAGAAGTCAAGTTACACAGCTTTTGCCCATCCTTCCAAATGAAATTTAAATAGCCTATTGCCAGTTTCAGAACATGAAAATCAGATCTAACCAATAAATCTCTGTAGTTATCTTTTCTTGACTTGAATAAATCTGTATTTTATTTAAGAGAAATAATGTTACAATTCTCCTCCATTTAAAATACTTATGTTCTACCTGGTCTTAATTGTTTGTGTGCAAATGCCAATCATCGGTAAGGGCAGGAAGCCAATTTTTGCAACTGTAGCAAAAAGCTACCACTTTCTTTTACATTTGCCACAGCTATTCTCTACCTGTGGCAGAAAAAGAGGTAGAAGACTTACAAAACACTGAGCATTACTTTGTACTATCAAGTTGTGATACTTAAAACTTCTTAGCCTACAGTAGTATCGGCACAAACAGCAAAGCAGTAGTATGACTATATTGGAAGGCTGTATGTTATGTCTATCAATGGCAATAGCATCTCCAGAGAGAAAAAAAAATAAATAAAAGAAAAAGCTAAATCAACCCCCACAGTAGGTATTGAGCATTGATGCAGATTCTCTATCTGTATGTAGAGATAAACATCAGCTTCCCAGAGTCTTAAGTGATCTAATCAGTCTCTCTTGAGGGTTTATGACTGAACATCTCGGTTGACAAGAAATTGAGAATGTGCATAAGCTGCTGAATAGAAAAAGTGAAATACGTGGATGCGTCTTTAAGGTCTGTTCACCCTTTCCCTGGTCATGATGGTGTCTTTCTCTGTGGTAGGAGCCCTAATTTTATAAGTCTTCTGCACCTTTAACTAGCCTAAGGACATTTAGTGTTTGCTGGATCTGCAAGTGTCCTGGTTACAACCAGGTATTTCAAAAGGAATCCGCGTGCCGTTCTCTCTTAGCCAGAAAGGCACCTTCATTTTTGATGTTACAATCCTCAGCTTCGTAGAAGTGACTGCACTTGTGGATCTAACTTGCATCCCATCTCCCAATACCCTGTTTCCAGAATGACAGTGACAGTCCTGGCATCCACGGTCAGAAGCCACCCTGGTTTTCTTAAATCTGATTTTTTGGGATGTTTTCATTCAAGGAACTTCCATCAGAGGTAATTCCTTCTTGACTTCAAGATTCTACTGGCGTTACTGTCCAGTTCAGTTTAATTGCAGTGAATGTGTTTTATACCACCTGTTCAGATGGCAAACTCTCAAACCACATTATCCTACTTCTGCTAGTTCTAGTTGTTCCTAATTTGAAGCCAAGTAATCCTGCCCTACTTCCTAGCTCTTCTGTTTTGAACATGATTCTCATCCAAGTTAGCATCTTCCTTTTTTTTTTTGCTTCACCTTCAAACAGAAAATACTCCAAACCACAGAGTATTTTCAGTAGTATTGCTGCCTTTTTCCATTTACCCATTTACTTTCCAAAATGACAGAAAAATCCTTAAGAACTCCCTAATCTCCCTCCTGGCTTGCCTTAAATGAAGTAGCAAACCTCTTCATAGCCAACTTTCTCACAGGATGGCAACAGCATTTGAGTGGATTTGCTTGGACTCCTGCCGGAATACTTTGTTTTACAAAATACACTTAACATGCTTTCAAGCTTTGGTTGTTTCGTTCATTCAGCTATAATCCCTGCTTTTTCCTACTAAGGGTGTTCCTAGCTTAGTCATAAAAGGCCACTTCTGCTGTTCTTGGGCACAGAGACATTTTGGCTCTGAAGTTCAGTCCAGTTTCAAGCATTTTCTGAGTATTTTCTGATTATTCTTGTTTAGCCAATGCTCATCTTGCTCTGAATATTGACAACGGCTTAGATTGTTTACTTTTTGTATTTGCTCCAGGAACCAGAGAGCTGATGTATGTTAATATTCTTAAATCCCTCCTCCATAAACAGCAGTTCCTCATCTCTTAATCACAAATCTGTCAGGACTTTTCTGTAACTGCTTCCACTGAACTTAAACCTTTTTGTTAAGACATTCTGCAGAATGTTGCCCACTTGCAACCTATGCAGTCCCCTAATCGCATCCATGTGTTTCTGCTTTACAGCTTCAAGAAGCAAAAATGGGGCAATTCAAGTGCAACTGTTTTAAGAATACTTCTACTTTATTATAAATGGAAAACATTTTTTGTGAGCCAAGCTTGTTAACCAAGTATTTGAAGCAACTTCACCCCTGCAGAGAAGAGGCAGGCTGTGCAATTTGTCCAAACAGCTCCCATCAGCTTCTGTCCTCTCCTTCTTTAGTTGGCCAACCCCAGCATCACAAAGCAGATTGACAAAGGCAGAAGAGCAAACAAGCAACTGTGGCTGAGGAGAACAAGGATGGTTCTGTCTTATCTCCAGTCAAGGAGACTGCTTTTTACCCTGCTCCCGTAGGTAACTGTTACAGTTACTTGCCAATGGAGAAATCCTATAACCTGTGCTGCAGCAGAGAAGAGGGAGCTGAATTAAGTCTGATGCAGCTGTGTCAGTGGGGGCTCTGCACCTGAGAAACCTCTGGCACTGGGGAGAAAGAGCATAATGCACGCTGAAGTCATCATCCTGAATCCTAAAAAAACTCTCCATGCTAAAGAATACGAAGAACTTCACTAAACCAGTTTTTACCTATAGGATTATCAATACATGTGGCACATACATCTATAGTGCCAGATCCCAAAGGTAACAACTATATTTTGCAAAGGCAAAGCAGCAGAAAGTGTTCTCCAAAATACTGATTTCTGCAGTTGCAGTAGTTGGAGATTTCAGAAATGTGGATAGGTTTCAAACAGAAAAAGATTTGGACTACAGCAGTCAGTCCTTTGGGAGTCTAGTATGTCTAGAAAACACACATAATTAAGTTACCCAGGCAGACTATCCAAAACAAGTAATCTTCCTATGGCATTTAGCTTAGTTATACTTGTATTTGTTGGGTGTTCTTTCTCTCAATATTTCAGGTTAAATCTTCCTGAAGGTACCAGCCAGGAGAATGTGAGCACAAACTTGATGCAAAGATTAGTATCGCAGCAACCTCACTAATGAGTGCAGTAAGACTGTCTTTCTGAAATGAGCTACCAATAAGTCAAAAGGGGCTGTTTTGGGAGAAAATAAGTCGTAGGAAGCAGAAGGAATAAATTTAAAACATGCATTGAAATGCATTATTTGGCAGCAAAAACACAAATAGTGAGAGTGTCTGCAACTGAGCCTGGTTGTTGCTCAACTCACACAAACAGAAGCAGACTATCCATCCTCTGAATATTACTCCTGCACAGTAACCTGTAGGTGTGCAGAAAGTCCAATAGGTCCAAGACACGCCAGAGAGGCCACATGTGCATAGGTCAACTGCCGAACCTCTGTGAAGAGGTTTACAACCAGGTATCATGGTGATAAATAATCACTCCATACATACACAGTGAGACCCGGGAATGTGATTGTATCAGTCTTGCATATGGGGGCAGTTCTGCACAGGAACATACTCCTTGCAGAACACATTAGGCCTCTCAAAATTGTTAGATTTTAAGAATGAAACCATCTTCTCCCAGCAACTGGAAAGGCCATAAAAAAGCTTGTAAGCCTAGACAGAAATTAGTTAGGTAGAAACCTAGCTTGATCCCTTCACTTTGAGCAGTTGCTGCTATTAGATGCTGGTTTCATTCAGCTCAAAAAAGCTACTTACTTTCCACTTTGCTTGAAATAAAACACTTGTAATTCTAAGTATGGTTGTAAACAGGCATTTTCTATCAATTAATAAAAGAAATGAGGATCTGTTGTTCTTTCCTTTGAAGCATGCTGCCTTTCTTTCCACCAGCTTCTACCTGAACACTAAAGACTGCCAAATGTTGTAAAGGAAGTACCCTGGCTGCTCTGCTGCTAGGTCTGTGCATGAAAAGCAGGCTGAAACTTACTAGGATGTAGCAAGTCAGCATCATTGGATCATAACTACAAGATTGTTTGCACATGATTTAATGATTGACTCTTGTTAGGCAAAAGAAAATAAAAAGAGTTAATTTATAAAAGAATGAGATGTCATTTCAATTTATTTGCTTTAAAAAGGTGTTTAGGAAGCTGAGTCAGTAGAAGTAGCAAATTATTTCAGTATAAACAATTCAGAGAGAGGAAAGTCAACACGTCACATGAAACACAGACTTTTTTTTTTTTACAACTCTGATAAACACAAAGATGACAGCCATAAAAACTAAAGCAGAACAACCCCGTAGAGCATCTTCCCTACAATAATAAGGATCAACTAGACACTGTCTTCTGAGAGAGAAGGGTATGTATTAGAAAAAATACCCAACAAACCAGCCTAGGAAGCTCTGAGGCAAAGCCCCTTGTGTATTTCAGGCAGGGGCTTGAAATTCTGTAGCAGGGAACACAAGTACTTGTGCTTCTAAACCTAAACAAGACAGGCTCTTGAAGGCCTGGGATGCTCCACTGCCTTTCAAGTGAAGGAAGAAGAAAATTGAATAGATTTTCATCAAAATTGGACAGCTTCCCTCCCCCCTTTTCCCTTTATACCAACGCTGGCAAATGCATAGCCCTGCAGCAAGTCAGAGCTGGCCAAAACCCATTCCTTTCCCCAGATACGTTAGCTAGCTGATGCTTCTGGCATCCCTTGGATGTGCGCCTACTGAGTAATGGCCTTGTGGTGCCCAGGTGCCACTCCAACTAGCTTCTGGACTGGGGACCTGAGGAGGTGTCAGGTGAGTCTAGGCACCTACCTGCTGACATTTAGTTTTAGGGGCACCTGAAAACACAGCATATACCTGTAAGTATACCCAAGAAACTTCTGTGTAAAATGCCAACAGCATACTGAAACTTAAACGTTTTTCAGCTGGTGGGAGGAGGTTTGACATGTCCAGCCTTTTCATCAATGTTAAGTCTTGCCCTCGCTTAGTAAAGTAAAGCAGAACTGCTCAATGATCTCTTGAAGAACGTCAAGAGCTGGTTGGAAAGCAGCAGCAGCCTGCCCAGAGGCAGGTGAGCATCTGATCTCACTCGCTAGGACACTTGGCAGCACCTACGTATGCTGCCTCTCTTGCATCAGCTCCGTCAGGTCACTACTTGAAAATCCTTGACACGGCCACCACCTCCAACAGCACACGCTCTTCCCAGTGGGAATGCGAGGCACATGATCTTTTAGGGCTAAAAAAAGCCCGCATCACCGGTACGATTAAGCCGGTTTCATTTTCAGCGTGTGGAGGGGAGAACTCATGCTTCAGGAAACACGTTGTCTTACACCGCAACCAGCTCTAACTAGCTGTGAGGCTCACTTGTCAGAAGGATGCCTATCAGCTAAGCCACCGAAATAACCAGCTGGTAGGAGCAGAGGATTAGAAATTCGCACACACCCTTCTGGCGTTGCTCGTATCAGTTACGAGAAACCCGAGGATGCTAAACCACAAACCGCGCCAGGGAGAGCGGCCACAAAGCAGGGCTTCGCAGTTAAAGAAGCGGCAGTCTCGGCCTCAGACAAGCGGCGCATCCCCCGGCGCTGCGCCCGCCAGCACCCCACGCAAGGGCCGGCTTCCAGCGCACCCCGCTGGGGACCCCACCGCGGTCCCGCTCCCCCCGAAGCCCCCTCACCCTTGTCGTCCTGCACCATGCCGATGGTGCCCCCCGTGTTGATGACCAGCACCCGCGCCTCGGCCTTCGAACCGCCGCCGGGGGCCGGGGGGCACCCGGGGCGCTCCTGAGGGCGGGGGGCGGCCAGGGCTCTGCTCAGCGAACGCGCACCCACCGGGTGCCGTGCCGCCGCTCCCGCCTCCATCCCGCTCCCGAAGAACCGCTACCTCCCGCCCGCCGAGCTGAGGGTTATAGCGCGGCTGCGGCACCGCCCCTTCCCGCCCTGCCGGCGGGCAGCGGGGTGGGGCCTGCCCGGGTCACGGCGCTGCCTCAGGGGCGGGGACAGGCGCCATTCCCGCCCTGCGGAGCTAACCGCGGGGAGGCGGTGGCGGCAGCGGGCGGGGCGGGGCGGGAGGGGACGGGACGGGGGTGCCTGGCCCCGCCGCCAGCGTGCCGCACCTCCCCTTGGACTTTGCTCCGCAGCGACCGCGGCTCCGGGGAAAGGGGAAGGTTCTTCACGCTTGGAGGAGAGCGGGGAGCAGCGGCGCGTTTAGGGCCCGGGGAGGAGAGGGGGTAGACAGAGTTCGGGGTCAGCCCCGGAGGGAAGACCGGAGTCGTCCCGTCTGTTTTCCAGAAAGCTTTTGGGGAAGAAGGCAGGAGCTTCCTCTGCTCATCTGGCCTCTGAAGTGACTGCTGCTTACCATGCTGTGTGTTTTATCCTGATGATAAGCACTTCTGTCATTAGCTGTATCTGCAAAAAGGTGGTTATCAGTAAGACCTGAATACCATGATCCTTAAGTGGACTTTTCCATGCAGTAGGGATGCTTCAGAGTCACGGGTGATGCAGAGAAGAACATAAACAGGTTTAGGAAACAGTGACAATGCGAACACATCTACCTCATTTCAGTGCTCCATGAGAGACAGCACCAGTATTATTGCCCATAGCCCGGGGGGTGATAATACTGTAGTAGAATTGTCAGTGTTATCAAAATAGATGGAGTAATGCTGGAATTCATATGCCTGTGGAAAACAGTGATGTCTTCTGGTCTTACAATACCAGCAGTTCCTTGAGTCCTTAGTACCTACGAAGACAAAATGGTAAGATGTTATTTATAGAATCATAGAACAGTTAGGGTTGGAAAAGACCTAAAGATCACCTAGTTCCAACCTCCCTGCCATGGGCAGGGACACCTCACACTAGACCATGTCACACAAGGCTCTGTCCAACTTGGCCTTGAACACCACGAGGATGGAGAATTCACAACCTCCCTGGGCAACCCATTCCAGTGCCTCACCACCCTAACAGGAAAGAATTTCCTCCTTATATCCAACCTAAACTTCCCCTGTTTAAGTTTGAACCCGTTACCCCTTGTCCTGTCACTACAGTCCCTAATGAATGGTCCATCCCCAGCATCCCTATAGCCCCCCTTCAGATACTGGAAGGCTGCTATGAGGTCTCCACGCAGCCTTTTCTTCTCCAGGCTGAACAGCCTCAACTTTCTCAGCCTATCTTCATACGGGAGGTGCTCCAGTCCCCTGATCATCCTCGTGGCCCTCCTCTGGACTTGTTCCAACAGTTCCATGTCCTTTGTATGTTGAGGACACCAGAACTGCACACAATACTCCAGGTGAGGTCTCACAAGAGCAGAGTAGAAGGACAGGAACACCTCCTTGGACCTGCTGGTCATGCTCCTTTTGATGCAGCCCAGGGTATGGTTGGCTTCTGGGATGCGAGCGCACACTGAAGCCAGCTCATGTTCATTTTCTCATCAACCAATACCCCCAAGTCCTTCTCCACAGGGCTGACCTGAATCTCTTCTCTGCCCAACCTGTAGCTGTGCCTGGGATTGCTCCAACCCAGGTGTAGGACCTTGCACTTGGCATGGTTAACCTTCATGAGGCTGGCATCAGCTCACCTCACAAGCATGTCAAGGTCCCTCTGGATGGCATTTCTTCCCTCCAGCGTATCAACCGAACCACACAGCTTGGTGTCACCGGCAAACTTGCTGAGGGCGCACTCAATCCCACTGTCCATGTCAGCGACAAAGATGTTAAACAAGACTGCTTCCAACACTCATCCCTGAGGGACACCACTCGTTACTGGTCTCCAGCCGGACATTGAGCCATTGACCACAACTCTTTGCGTGCAGCCATCCAGCCAGTTCTTTATCCACCGAGTGGTCCATCCATCAAATTGATGTCTCTCCAATTTAGAGACAAGGATGTCGTGTGGGACAGTGTTGAACACTTTGCATAAATCCAGGTAGATAACATCAACTGCTCTACCCCTGTCCATCAGTTCTGTAGCCCCATCATAGAAGGCCACCAAATTGGTCAGGCAGGATTTCCCCTTAGTGAAGCCATGCTGGCTGTCACCAAGCACCTTGTTGATTTTCATGTGCCTTAGCATGCCTTCCAGGAGAATGTGCTCCAAGATTTTGCCAGGCACAGAGGTGAGACTGACTGCTCTGTAATTTCCCACGTCATCCATTTTCCCCTTCTTGAAAACTGGGGTTATATTTCCCTTTTTCCAGTCATCAGGAACTTCACCTGACTGCCATGATTTCTCAAATATGACGGCTAGTGGCTTAGCAACTTCATTCGCCAGCTCCTTCAGGACCCACGGATGAATCTCATCAGGTCCCATGGACTTGTGCACATTCAGGTTTTTAAGATGTCTTGAACAAGATCCTCTCCTACAGTGGGTGCAAGGTCTTCATTCTCACAGTCCCTGCGTCTGCCTTCCAAGACTTGGGTGGTGTGGTCAGAGCCTTTGCCAGTGAAGACCAAGGCAAAGAAGTCATTCAGAACCTCAGCCTTCTCCAAATCCAGGGTAGCCAGCTCTCCTGAGAGCTTCCGGAGGGGGCCTACATTCTCCCTAGTCTGTCTTTTATTCAGTACATACGTATAGAATCCCTTCGTGTTATCTTTCACATCCCTAGCCAAGTTTAATTCTAACTGGGCCTTAGCTTTCCTAACCTGGTCCTTAGCTTCCCAGACAACATCCCTGTATTCTTCCCAGGCTGCCTGTCCTTGCTTCCACCTCTTAAAAGTCTCTTTTTCCCTTTGAATTTTCCTCAGCAGCTCCATGTCCATCCAAGGAGGTCTCCTGGCCCTCCTGCTGCACTTCCTTCTAGTTGGGATGCAACACTCTGAGCTTGTAGCAGGTGATCCTTGAATATCAACCAAGAGTCTTGGGCACCCCTGCCCTCTAGGGCTGTATCCCATGGAACCTTACTAAGCAGGTTCCTAAAGAGGCCAAAGTCTGCTCTCTTGAAGTCCAGGGCAGTGAGCTTGCTGCACGCTCTTCTCACTGTCCTGAGGATCTCTAATTCAACCATCTCATGATCGCTGCATCCAAGGCTGCCCTGGAGAGTCACATTTCCAACGAGCCCTTCCCTGTTGGTGAGCACGAGGTCAAGCATGGCACCTCTCCTTGTCGGCTCCTCTATTACTTGCAGAAGGAAGTTGTCTTCCATACAATCAAGGAATCTCCTGGATTGCTTGTGCCGGGCCGCACCATCCTTCCAACAGATACCAGGGTGAAGTCCCCCATGAGAACAAGGGCCTGTGATCATGAGGCTGTTCCTATCTGTCTGTAGAGTGCTTCACCCACAGAGTCCTCTTGACCAGATCCCTGTCTGTAACAGATCCCCACAGTAATGTCTGCCATAGCTGTATTCCCTTTAACCCTGACCCACAAACTCTCTGTTAACTGCTCACCTGTCCCCAGACAGAGTTCCATACTCTCCAGCCTATCCCTCACATAAAGGGCAACTCCCCCTCCCCACCTGCCAGGCCTGTCTTTTCTAAAGAGCCTGTAACCTTCCATTCCAACACTCCAGTCATAGGAGCCATCCCACCATGTTTCTGTGATGCCTATTATATCATACCCCTCTAGACGTGCACACATCTCTAATTCCTCATTTGTTCCCCATACTATGGGTGTTTGTACAGAGGCATCTGAGCTGAGCTCCAAATGAAGCTGGCTCATTGACTGGAGCAGCTGGGGTATCTCTGCATTGCTCCAGGCATTTATTATAGGTGCTGGCAACTGACTGGGTGTGTTGGGATGGAATGATGCCCCCCTCCCCCAACACATCTAGTTTAAAGCCTCCTTGATCAGTCTGGCAAGCCTCCTATCAAAACACCAGCTCCACCAGCTTCCAGTAGACCTGGCCTCTGATCCAGTGTTGAAGGTGTCCTCTTTCGAGCTACTCACCTCAGCAATTAATTGTAAATAAATACCATAACAGAAAGAATGTTGAATTGCAGTTTAAAGTGAAGACTCATCTCCATTGTCTTTTAGATCATAGGGGTAACTGAACTCCAATTTATATGTCAGCTTTTTGTTACCAATGATGTGCTAGGCATTTCTCAAATTCATCTTCCTGTAACAGTCTTCCTAACCTTCCAGGCATACAAGCCCTTCTTCAAATGCTTCAAAATAGAAGCATTTGACTTCAAAACTAAATACAAATTTAGGGTTTAGTGTCTAGGTTAAAATAGTTTATACATCTGGATTAGAAGCCAATTTTGCAGGTAAAGGAAGGTGATGTTATAGGTGTTTTACAGAAAAAGCTAGTGATGTGTACCATATAGACTCTGGAGCTCTAAGAGGTTAATTGTGGAAAGGAGGGCATATTAAGGTCTGGCATAAAACAAGATGAGCTGTATTAAGCCCTGTATTGGTGTCTGGCTTACATACAGGTTTTACTTCTAGGAGTCATGTTTGGAAGGTATATATGGTAATTTCTTTTGAGGATCAGGTATGAGGTCAAGAATAAGGAGGCCGAAATTGGTTTAAAGGAGACCTGGGAAGTACTGAGGTCTGTTGTCATGAGATTTGTTATTACGGGCAAACTATAAAGCAAAAAGTAACTGGCTAAAAACCAGGCCAGTTACAAAGGACAGTAACTGCTGAGAAGCAGAGTCTAAATGTGGTAAGAATATGCTGCTGAAGAAGTACCTTGAGGCAAAACATGAGCTTAAGTGCCAGAGTTACCCAGTAAGCCAAAGAACATGTTTCTGGTATTAAAGTAGTCGGGAATTTTTGCTCCAGGTCATGTGAACTGAAGTTGTACCCTGTACTGCAACTTCTAAATAAAATTTAACTCCATTTAAATGTAAAAACATGTATTATGTGATGGTCCAAGCAATTTCTTCAGCTTCCAATTTCTATGACTTACTGTTCCAACAGAAATAAATTTGATTCATTCCCTCCAGAACTCCCC